ATCATGATATCAGCCTGTAATTACATCATGATATCCAGCCTGTAATTACATACATGATATCCAGCCTGTAATTACATCATGATATCCAGCCTGTAATTACATCATGATATCCAGCCTGTAATTACAACATGATATCCAGCCTAATTACATCATGATACATCATGATATCCAGCCTGTAATTACATCATGATATCCAGCCTGTAATTACATCATGATATCCAGCCTGTAATTACATCATGATATCCAGCCTGTAATTACATCATGATATCAGCCTGTAATTACATCATGATATCAGCCAGCCTGTAATTACATCATGATATCCAGCCTGTAATTACATCAATTAGCCTGTAATTACATCATGATATCCAGCCTGTGTAATTACATAATTACATCATGATATCCAGCCTGTAATTACATCATGATATCCAGCCTGTAATTGTAATCATGATATCCAGCCTGTAATTACATCATGATACAGCCTGTAATTGATATATCCAGCCTGTAATTACATCATGATATCCAGCCTGTAATTACATCATGATATCCAGCCTGTAATTACATCATGATATCCAGCCTGTAATTACATGATATCCAGCCTGTAATTACATCATGATATCCAGCCTGTAATTACAACATGATATCAGCCTGTAATTACATCATGATATCCAGCCTGTAATTACATCATGATATCCAGCCTGTAATTACATCATGATATCCAGCCTGTAATTACATCATGATATCCAGCCTGTAATTACAACATGATATCAAGCCTGTAATTACATCATGATATCCAGCCTGTAATTACATCATATCCAGCCTGTAATTACAACATAATATCCAGATGTAAGAACAACATCATCACATCCAGGATACAAGTACCACATCATGATATCCAGCCTGTAATTACATCATGATATCCAGCCTGTAATTACATCATGATATCCAGATGCAAGAACAACATCATCACATCCAGGATACAAGTACCACATCATGATATCCATGATATTCATCCGGCAAGACCCAATCCCATGACCCATGTTGAAGAACTGCGCCAGCAATGGAGAGTGGTTGTCCCGACTTTCAACATGTACCATCAGAAGGAGGTTGCGGGTTACTGGTCAAAGGGTACATCATCCAATCAGACATCCCTTCCTCACAGATAGGCACAGGCAGGAACGTCTGGAGTGGTCCAGGCTACCAAAAAGCTGAACTTGTGGACACATTACCAACAGTCATTGCCACAAATGGAGTCATCAAAAAGAGGCATGTGACCAGGAGATGATCACTGGAACTTGTAGCCTTGATCAAACAAGTAGGTGTTTAGCTGGGATTTGAAAGAAGAGACAGTGGTAGCAGTTTTATAGTACCTGGAAGCCAGGTCCAATTAGACGCAGCTGTGAGAGAAAAAATCTCCAAAAGTAGAAGATTAAAATCTGTGAACATAGAAGAGATGTTGATCTTGTGAGTGGCGGGTTCTGTGAGGACAGCAGACTGGTAGTTCTCCCAGGTATGATGGTATAATATGGTTGTTACACTTGTAAACCATGAAAAGGATCTTGAAATCAACACGTGAAGCAACTGGAAGCCAATGGAGTTCTCTTAGAAGTGGTCAAGTATGAGCAAATGTAGACTATCTAAATATAATCCTGGCTGCTGTATTTTGAATTGCTCGGAGTCTGTTTATTTGTTCTTTTGTTACATTGGCCATGAATCTATTACAGTAGTCAATATGAGAGATGACAAAAGTAGCATCAGCCTCACACATGAATCTTGTGTCAGGTATAATGGCCATAGTTTTCCAATATTATGGAGATGGTAAAAAGCTGTTTGGCACACTCGGGTCAAGTGGTGTTTCATGCTGAGCTGCTGATCAAATATCACCCCCAAGTTTTTCATATTGTAAGACAATTGTTTAACTATAATTGCCAGTGGTTAAGGTAATTGAAACCTGTACAATTCTGAAGTCTTCTTTCAGGGCCGATCACAATAAATTCTGTGTTATCTTGGTTGAGCTTAAGCATGTGTGATGTCATCATCCAGTAGGATACACATCTGAGTCATCACACGTGAAACTGACATAGAACTGATTGTCACCAGCATACTGATGCTGTCTCAGGCCTTGCAGCAGCAACACGACCAAGTGACCTTGTGTGTAGTTTAAACGAGATTGGTCCCAATACTGAACCTTGGGGTACAACTTTCTCCAGCTCAGAGGCAGGCAATCTTGAAGAGTTGACAGCAATACTCTGGAACCTCTCAGACAGAAATGAACCAGGCAAGTGCAATGTCACTGATGCTCAGTTCCTGTTCAAGAGTTGTTAACAGTATCTTGTGGTCAACTGTCAAAAGTCTAACAAAACTAGAGCTGAAATCTGTCCTTGGTCAGCAGATGTTAGGATGTCATTGGTGATTCCAACAATGCTGTCTCAGATACTGTGCCCAATCCTTGGTCAGCAGATGTTAGGATGTCTTTGGTGATTCCAACAATGCTGTCTCAGATACTGTGCCCAATCCTTGGTCAACAGATGTTAGGATGTCATTGGTGATTCCAACAATGCTGTCTCAGATACTGTGCCCAATCCTTGGTCAGTAGATGTTAGGATGTCATTGGTGATTCCAACAATGCTGTCTCGGATACTCTGCCCAATCCTTGGTCAACAGATGTGAGGATGTCATTCAGGATTCCAACAATGCTGTCTCAGATACTGTGCCCAATCCTTGGTCAGCAGATGTTAGGATGTCATTGGTGATTCCAACAATGCTGTTTCAGATACTGTGCCCAATCCTGTAAGCTAATTGGTATTCCTCATACACTGTTTCTGGTCAGCTGTTCCTGAAGACGAGTGGCAACTGCTTTCTGTTGTAGCTTCGATAGAAATGTTCGGCTTCATACAGGCCTATAGTTGTTCAATGTGTTCCTGTCTAGTCCCGCCTCCTCCAGCTGGGTCCTAACTATGGTATATTTAAACAACCTTGGCACTTCACCAGATTGCAGTGACACATTCATGAGACTGGTAATAAATGGCAGCAAAGATTCAATACATTTTAATTTCAACTGCATGGTTTTGTATTATCAGCGTAAAATATTATACAGCTATCATTTCAAAACGTGGAATGTGGTTTTCAAAGCATATGCAGCAACAATATATGTAGTATGTCAGGGGTTGATTAATGCTCATGTGTATATTTTGAAGGCTGAATGTCTCATCGCAGTCATTTAGAAAAACATCCCTCACTTTCTGCCTTGATTTTGTAATCATTACGAATACACAAAAGCATGTTCTTGAGAGAACCATTTGAAGATAGTAAAGTATCTCTGCCTCATTATTTAATGTGGTGACACTACACTTTATAGCATATTGTTTCTTGTGTTTAAAAGATGCCATTAAATGGCACAATGACAAAATAAGTATAAACACTGAGAATCTATATGAAATGATTTTCCTCTGAAATCACAATGCATCAACTTGCCATAAATGCCATGTGACTCTGGCACATAAACCTTGTGTTGACAGCTGAGCTAAACAAGCTAACATATACTTTGTTAGTGGTCTTAGCTGTTGCCTTTTGCAAAGATTCCATCAGCCAATCACTGTTTACAAAGCTTAAAATCAGTCAGTATTGATGCTAAACAAGTGTTGGCCACTGATGTGGTAATGTTCCCTGCCGCAAAAAATGGAATATCTATATTTACTATTTATTATTTTTTGGTCACATACAAGATGCCTGAAATGACTGGTGTCTGCATAATCACCCAATGTAGGCTGTCAACATAATTGAAAACATTGGGTGCAATGTTTTATGAGATATCGCGTTTAAATAAATTTGAAATGTGGTCAAAGTGTCGTGGTGACCATGAAGAGAAGGTCACCCAAATCATTGAAGATAATTGAAGATAAGATCAAGGTCACCCAAATCAACTGGTGTCTGTGTAATCCCCCAATGTAGGCTGTCACCAAATTTGAAGATATTGGATACAACAGTGCATGTGATATCATGTTAACAAGAGTTTGAAAAGTGGTCAAAGTGTCTTGGTGACCTTGAAGATAAGGTCAAGGTCACCCAAATCAACTGGTGTCTGCGTAATCCCCCAATGTAGGCTGTCACCACATTTGAAGACATTGGGTACAACAGTTCATGAGATATCGCGTTAACAAGAATCGGGACGTACGTATGTATGGACGTACGTACGGACACCGCTGAATACATAGTCCCACGTTAAAGAAGAATGTATTGATAGTAAAATGGAGGATGCAACTCTTTATCATATTTGGTTTGTCATACTAGTACACAAGAAGTTGAGATGTGAAAAACAAGTGCTGATGCACAAAGCACTGCTTAGGATCCGCCCTTCAGACATGGGTACCCGTGAAGATCCGGGTTAGAATTATCTTCAGTAACCCATGCTTGTCTTAAGAGGTCGAATAAAAGGATCAGGTGGTCAGGTTCGCTGGCTTGGTTGACATATGTCATCGGTTCCCATTTGCGCAGATCAATGCTCATGCTGTTGATCACTGGATTGTCTGGTCAAGGCTCAATTATTTACAGACTGCCGCCATATAGCTGGAATATTGCTGTGTGCGGCGTAAAACTAAACTCACTCACTCACTTCAGACAAGGGTATTACAACATGGATGACAGTTGTATAACTGAGCCACTGTTTTACCATGTAACAATTACAGCAGTGTCTACCATCTCTCAGTATCATGCTGTATTGAGTGTTGGTACTCGTCATTCATAACAATGTCTCTTTGTAGGACTTCTGAAAATCTCTGACTCACGCATGTTAGACTGATGTGATGAAAACCATTGACCATTCTATTTCATCCCCATCCCATGTTGCTGCTGTTTGTACCTGGGAAATCCCAGTGATGTCATTGGGAAACAATGCATATTTTATTTCCAATCTCCAAGACAAATGAGACCAGAGGTGACTGTTTTCATCTAGTGTACACACCAACAGAGTTTCACAGCAAGGAAACTGCAGAAGAAATCCTTACCTCAACAAGTGACTTTGGTGGTTCCTCCATTTGCCCATTCTCTATCGCTATCAAACCACCCATCTAAAAAACAAACAAAATTAGGATGAGCATATATTGTAATAGTATTCAATGGTGTTTTCGATATCACAATGTTGGCAGCAATAATTTGTCGGCCATGTCACACAGAGACCTTGTTCAGTAAAAACATGATAATCTCAAGTATCAACTTCATCCATGTCAATTCAAAGAAAACTGAAACATGGAGAAGTAGTAATGTCCTTACACTTTACAGACATTTCTCAAAGTCATTATTCAGATGATGGTTTGGATTACAAAGGTTTGGTTGTACATTAGAGAGTGGGTAAGTTTCTTACTGTGACAACTTATTCCACAATAAACTAATCATTGTTTGAAATCAAGGATGAAGTCCAGAGATCCATGTCATCATCCTTACTGTTACAAATGACTGAATTGAGAGGTATGTGGACACAACCATCAAGCCACAATTCCAGTAGCTCCCATGACTCCCTATCATTTCTCCCTTGCTATGTGACTAGGTCACGATAACGATTGTTTGTGGAACATGAAACAGACCTGATCTAACTCTTTGCCTGCCTCCCCTGTACAATAAGACTCCTTGATGACAGCGTGACAGCACCGGAAGCCCCATTGGCCGTCTCGCCAGTACGACCCCCACACACTCTGAAACAAAGGTCAAGGTCACAACTATGAAGCCATTCAAACACGGCGGCAACTCATTGATGACAGCGGGACATCACCGGAAGCCACATTGGCCGTCTCGCCAGTATGACCCCCACACACTCTGAAACAAAGGTCAAGGTCACAACTAGGAAGCCATTCAAACATGGCGACTCATTGATGACAGCGGGACAGCACCGGAAGCCCCATTGGCCATCTCGCCAGTACGACCCCCACACACTCTGAAACAAATGTCAAGGTCACAACTAGGAAGCCATTCAAACATGGCGACTCTTTGATGACACAAGACAGCACCGGAAGCCCCATTGGCCATCTCGCCAGTACGACCCCCACACACTCTGAAACAAATGTCAAGGTCACAACTAGGAAGCCATTCAAACATGGCGACTCTTTGATAAGCATAATTTCTTATTTGTGACAGCACCGGAAGCCTCACTTACATCTATAAAGCCTTTCAAACATGTCAAATCCTCGCCCCCATGACAAGTGGACTTTTCATCACGCATGAATACTTTTGAAGGACATAAGGACATATACATAAGGAGTTCTTTTCGTCAATCACAAATTCGCTGTTTGATTGAACATTCTTTAAACTAGGCACGTTTAGTTTTCACAGAATCACATTTCATCTATTGTGTCAGCACCTCATCACATTCCAGGGTGTTGGCATGCTTCTCTCACAGCTGGGACTTCTCTAAGTGATCAATATGGCATGACACTCGAGAATTACGTAATTAATAGAACTCGGGAAAGAAAATCTGTAATTCGCCGTCACGAGTTGGTTATTGTTTTTATTACCCATATCAGTTTTCGATCTAAAAAGAGCTAAAATGAAAACAGCAGCTTCTCTATAAGGACACCCGTGATGTGGGGAATCCCCATATCCCTACACGTGTGATGCAGCTTCATTTCCAATAATTTCATCGCATTACCTCTATCTTAAACGGGTGTATTACGTGAGTCTAAATAGTCCTTTAAAATTTGTTTAACTAACTTAACTCTATAGTTTGTTAAATAGGATTACATATGTGTTTTCTGTACTTCTGAATTTTGTATTAATAAATGCAAACAAAACATATGTTATCACATTTGTGAGTGAGTAACATAGGGCTGGACAACATGATCATGCAGGAATAATCTACAACAAAGTTTCAAAGGTCAACTCAGAAATTGGTTTTATTGGATTGTCAAACTTTTGATCGTCAATAAAAGAAATGACAAGTTTGAAGAAACCGCAAATATTGAAAATTTTATAATAAATTGTATATTTATATACTTATCCTATCTCATGGTATGCACCTCTTCTCTTCTTTACGACCATGTGTGGAAACGTGCTGTAGGCTAAGTTGAATCAAATCTTGCTGGCCTCTGACCCGCCCTGACCTCTGCCCCCACTCCGACATCAGCACCTGTCAATCATCTCTGTAAGCTTGGAGCTCGCTCAGATGATCATGTGACTACCTGTGCCTGTCATTCTCGTCTTGGAGTTTCTAGTAATCTGTGATGTGGGGCAGGTCGGGTGGGTCCTATCGCGTGAGATAGGATATGTATATAAATATACAATTTATAATAAAATTTTCAAATTTTTAAACTATCTCACGGTATGCACAATCCCACGGTTGGTAGGCAGGTCGCAGATTACCCCGTTACTACCACCAGAAAAAACGCATAACCCAAGAAGGCCAGGAGAAAGCACCAACTCCCGATATGCAAACTCCAACCTGAGATGGGTTTCTTCATGTAACCCCTTGGCTTACACAACACAAAAACTCTAGGGAGTGGGTGCTCCTGAATTAATGTGGTTTTCTGCCGCAACTTTTGACAAGCAAAAGGATGCAGTTTGGCAAGTAGGCCCCGCCGGCCCACGATTTATCTGGTGACCCCAGTGAATTAAAGTCGGGGACCTTAATCTGGCCAGTCCCTGCTTCGAAACTACCCCCCACAGACACACGCTGGAAGGCGGTGAAAGAGGGAATAGTTCGGATGCTCAACTAGTTTAACGTTCAGTACCAATCTCCCTAACGTACCAAAGGTGAGAAAGGACTCAGGAGCAGAACGCTTCAAAAACCATGTAGGTAATCGGAAATCAACACTTAACTGACGAGGTGGAGGCAGTAGACAATGGAATGAACAATTTCTTACGCAATCTGCGGCGATCCTGTGAGGCTACGTAAATCCTTAATGCACGCACCGGGCATAAGGACAGATCCTCAGTGTCATCTGGGCCCAAGATAGTGGACAACGGCTGAATCGTGAATGTGCGATCCGGCTGTCCTAGTAACTGATTCTTGGCGAGAAAATCCCACCGCAAACCAAGGAAAACTTTGGCATGTCTTTCAAACCTTACCCGAGAAACATCAAGAGCATGCAATCAGAAATACGAGAAGCCGTAGCCAAGGCCAATAGAAAGAAGGTCATGTTGTAAATCTTTCTCCTCCAAAGGTTCATAATCAGCTGACGTGAGATGAGCAAGTACAACGGAAAGATCCCAAGCTGGAGGCCGGAACTTCTGAGATTGGTCAGCCAGTTTGTAAGACCGGAGGTGAGACTGGAATTCAGGGACAGTGGACACCTTCACACCTGAGGCAGCTGCAATAACCGTGTTAAGAGCCGCCAGATAGGTAGATAGTGTGGAACCTTTGAGTTTTCTGGAGGTTCGGAGATGCTGAAGGTACTCTGCCACCATCTGCGGGGACGCTGTAGTGGGGGATGAGACGCCCCTCTTCCTGCAATACGCTTCGAAATTCTTCCATTTGTCATTGTAGAGTGACCTCGTAGAAGTACGATGCGCTGTAGTAATGGCAGGAGCCACCCGTTTAGAATAGCCCTTCGCCGTTAAAGACTGATGTAGATGCGCCAAGCGTGCAGATGGAGCGTCACCGGGGACCAATGTAGCTGGTCGGAGTGCGGATGTACCAGGAGATCGGGACCCGAACGAAGAGGCAGAACGCGGTATCTGGTTGGCTAGGTCTTGAAAGTTTACTGACCAACTTCTGGCCGGCCAATAGGTCGCGACCGAAAGCAGAGTCATCCCCTGAGTTGCACACAGTTTCACTAATATACGAGGAAGAAGGGCCACTGGTGGAAACGCATAAGCGTTCAGGTCCTCTCGACGGAATGGCTAGAGCATCGAGGTCCCAAGCCAGAGGGTCAGGAATCGGTGACACAAACCAAGGCAGCTGATGGTTGAATCGGGTGGCGAAGAGATCTACTGTCGGAGTCGTCAACGGAAGGCCAAAGGTCTGGAACACCTGAGGATGCAATTTCCATGCCGTTGGAGAGGGACGACTTGGTCGGGACAGAGAATCTGCGATGACATTCTACACCCCCGGAATGTAGGTGGCTCGTACAAAGATGTGGAGAGAGTCCACCAGATCGAAGAACCGTTGGGTCCACTGCAGCAGTTGAGTAGACCCCGTGGACTCCATCCTGTTGATATGCCAAACCACAGCTGCGTGATCGGTCATCCTGCAGTGACTGATTGAATGCAGAACGTTGATGTGACGAAGGCGCGATCGATGGGAGACCACCACCCTGCCGATGAGAAGATAAGCTTCAAACACTATCTCCTCTTGGCGGTGAAGGAAACAGGTGATAGGCTTTGATACCCGTGTGAACAGCCAGGGAGGACACGCTACTGATAGTGGGTGCCCTCGAAGACAAACCGAAGGAACTTGCGAAGAGCCGGAAAAATTGGGATGTGAAGGTACTCATCCTGGATATCGAGACTGACCATGTAGTCCTGTGAACAGCCGGCTTGATGATTGTTGAGAAGAGCCACCGACACCATCCTGGATATCAACACTGAAGTGCTTGATGATTGTTGAGAAGAGCCACCGACACCATACGAAAGTGAGGCGGGGGTTGTAGAACCATTTTATGGAAAACCTTCACATTGAAAATTAGTCTCAACTTGTCCATAAGATTGGCAAATAGAACCCCGGGTCGGTCGGAGCCAGGCCCAGGGCTCGATCGCAAGTTTCTGAAGGAGAGTGTTGATTGTGGAGCGTAGAACAGCCGTCTGAGATACAATACTTTTGAGTAGCCAAGTACCAAAACAGCACTGAAGAAGTGCTGAATGTAGGAGGTTCGTGGCATGGAGATGTCAGGAACGTACACATCGTACACAGAGTGATGAAGGCCATATAAACAGTGATTGTAGGAACGTATAGTTCGCCAAATGAAGTGTTGGTCCACCAGATGGAGTGAGAAAGTTAGTAGATACGATGCATGGGATCGCCAGTCTACCGGAACATTTGTAAAGTTGATGGAATGGCAAAGGTAAAAAAGTCTCTCATGGACCAATCAAATTGCAGCATTTGATTCATCTCAGATTCCTGCGATGTGACGTCACTGGTGTTGCAGGAAAAAGATCCTTGTAAAATCTTGTGCAGTCGTTGATTTCTTCATCAACACTCGGCCTTGTCCGTAATCTCCCAGAGTTGCACGAGTGAACACGTGTACAGCAGACTGAGTGGAAAACGTGCGAAAGATTTCGCCGCATAATACCGATGTAAGTAGACTGTCTCCCTGGCTATTGTCATTGTTTCCTTCTTCACTGAAGATAATGTAATCGTCATCTTAACAGATGATCAGCTGAAGTTCATACTTGCTTAACGCTGTTACTTGTAGACTATAGTCATCGGTCTCAATGAAGCGCCGTAAATACCCAATTGTGTTGAATACATAAAGGTTCTTGTAGAGCTACAAGTTCATCTACGACTCCCATTGCAGAACTTATACATCAGCGTGCTTGACTCTTGTGAGGAAGGGGACAGCTTGACAGTTATCACTGGCCTAGCTCAATACTGAAGCCAGTGAACTATGAGGAAGCACCGAACCGGAACACCATGAGTAAGCGCTGAACCGGCAGCCCCATAAGTGAGTGTTGAACCAGGAACCCCATGAGTAAGCGTTGAACCGGTAATACTGAAGGTAAGCGCTGAACCAGGAAGAGTGCTGAACTAAAAGCACCATGATGAAGCGCCGATCCGGGAAAACCGGAGGTAAGCGCCGATCTGGGAGCACCGGTAATAAGCGCCGAACTGGGAACACCAGTAGTAAGCATCGATCCGGGAACACTGGGAGGAAGCGCCGATCCGGGAACACCGGGAGGAAACGCCTATCCGGGAACACCGAGAGGAAGCGCCTATCCCGGAACACCGGTAAGAAGCGCCGGACTGGGAACACCGGTAAGAAGCGCCGGACTGGGAACACCAGTAGTAAGCACCGATCCGGGAACACCAGTTGTAAGCGCCGATCCGGGAACACCGGTAAAAAGCGCCAAACTGGGAACACCAGTAGAAAGCACCGATCCAGGAACACTGGGAGGAAACGCCGATCCGGGAACACCGGGAGGAAGCGCCGATCCGGGAACACCGGTAACAAGTGCCATTCCGGAGAAAGCGCCGATCTGGAACCACCAGTAGTAAGTGCCGATCCGGATATACCAGTTGTAAGCGCCGATCCGGGCACACCGGTAATAAGCGCCGAACCGAGACCACCAGTAATAAACGCCGATCTGGGACCATCGGTAGTAAGAGCCGATCTGTGACCCCCAGTAGAGAGCGCCGATCCGGGAACACCGGGAGAAAGCGCCAACCGGGAGTACTAGTAGTAAGCGCCGAATTGGACACAAGCGGCGCTCTGAAAGACATCACTTGATCGGCAACAAGCGGCGCTCTCACCGATATCTGCCTGAAAGGAAACGACGCTTGTGAGGCAAGTGGTGCACTAGAATAAAGTGGTGGTCTAGAAGCAAGTGACACATTCGACTGAGACACAGAATGCGAATCATACGAAGTAACAACCACCGTAGACAGATGAGGTTGTGGAGAGGACGTAGACAACACAACAACCCTAGATGGAGACGAGTCTTCCAACGTGATGGGGTTAAGGCCACGCGGTTGGAACAGTTGTCGTAAGTTCTCACTGAGGTAAGAATCAGACGCCTCCCCTAAGAAATCTTCAGTAGGAGACGGGGACCTCGACCGACGGACTGCCAAAGTCTACGACGTTCGGCCGCCTTGGGACGGACCCTCCGATAGTTGACGGCGATCTCGATCGGATAATCGTCTACCAGCCACCCGGCGATATGCCGAGAAATCATCATCATTGAGATCCTTACAAAAAGTACAACGACGCGACAATTCACATGTGCCTAAACAGTCTACACACAAGGCATGTGGATCCGCCGCCGAAAAATTACTGTTGCATTTATCACAATGCTTTTGTTTCTTAGAACTACTGCGATTAGACTTTCCCATAGTTGAAGAATAAACGCAAACAAACTTTCTATAGACAAGCACACGTCCACACGACGTAGCGACAAGAAAGAGAATGACAGGCACAGGTAGTAACATGATCATCTGAGCGAGCTCCATGCATACAGAGATGATTGACAGGTGCTGATGTCGGAGTGAGGGCAAAGGTCAGGGCGGGTCAGAGGCCAGCAAGATTTGATTCAACTTAGCCTACAGCACGTTTCCACACATGGTCGTAGAAGAAGAGAAGAGGTGCATACCATGAGATAGGATAAGTTTAAAAATTTTGAATCTCAAGTTCAGGTCAAATCGGCACTTGTGACAGTCTCAGGCACAACCTTGGAACTTGCATCTCACCTTGCTCAGTTCTCACAACAAATACACTGAACATGTTCAGTGGCTGAACAATATCTACAACTCTTCCCAACATGCTGCCATCAACCTTCACTTTTATCAGCAATAGGGATGACGCCATGTTTGTTTACATCGACAACACACCAACACTCCGGCACAGTGATGACTCAACACAACAGCAGACGTATCGTATTGACTTTTGCAACATTGTATTTTTGAATTTCTATAACTGTTATTTCCAAATGTTTACCTGAAATAGTGATGCATTTACAAATAAACAAAATTAAATGTTTAGTGAGTAATTAGTTTTTGTTTTCATTGTTTTTAACCGATGTTTATTTTCTGAAACAGCCAATCAACATTCACTAAAATGTGTAACCTCCCGTAGGGACTTACAGGAAAAATACTACACTGTGTCCTCCTTCCCATATGGTCCCATGCACCCTTTCAAAACACAGTATGACGAACTTATTATCCTTAAGATTTATTTATTTAGCTTATCTTTAAAAACAAACATTGAACAGAAACTAATGAATGCTCATAAAGGGAGACAACTTATGATGGTGCAGTATATGATAAAAAGATCAAATTTCATTTTTGTTAAACAACAAGTAAAATACAGAAGCATTATATTGCTTTTATATTTTTATTGACACAAACAAATAAGAAATTATGGCCCATCCTTGGTGTTCACATTTTTTTCCAAAAGCCATTGCCTGAGAATCAATATTTTACATTTTGTTAAGCCTAAAGTTTACTGAAGAGTGGAAAAAAACATTGGTAATTCATTCACAATAACATCTGTAACACATACAGATAAATCCATAGCTCAAGTATTGTGGGATTTCAACATCAGGAGAGAACTTGAAATTCAAATAAGTACTTACACATCCTGAAGCATTCTAACTGATCCTGTAAAACATGTCCAAACCTGAAACTTCTGGTAACCATGGTAACATAATCTCTCTCACTTTGGACAGTTCACTTTGCCACTGAAAACATGAGTGCAATTTGTCTGTTACCGTATTGTTTATATTGAGTGCATCTTTCTAGTATGTACACAAGATGCCACTGACGACATGACAGCTACAGCCTACTTACTGTGTGATTATTTATGTAGATATCTTCCTCGTATCTCGACTTGACCTTGGCCCGCTCCATGCCCTTGATAACTGTTCCGTGTCGAGAGTATTCCACATAGTCCTCCTGTTGGTGACAAACAGTGAATGAGTGAGGGAGTTGGGTTTTCATTGGGTACACTTGTAGTGTGTGTGTGGCATTGGAGTGCTGGGGACGATTCCAGATCTCCATAGGACATGTGATGTGTTGTCAAGGTTGTATATCGCCATGAATCACATGCATCACAGTCATTATACACAAACAACATTTGTAATCTGTACTTTACATGTTTTGGAATTGGTAGGGAAGGGTTTCATATTATACACAATGAGGCACAGTAATTTCCAACTTGGATAAATATGGTAATGCTTTAATCTGGAACATAAAACATTCATGCATGAGGCAGTGCTATACATGCTATACCTGATAGTTCCTTTCCTATGCTATACACGCTATACACAATAACGTCCTCTGCTATACTAGCTGTATGTGATAACAGTTACCTACTTATGCTTTACATGTTATACCTGACAGCTACTTTCCTATGCTATACATGCTATACACAATAACTGTCCTATGCTATACACAATACTGACTGACTGACTGAGTTTGGTTTTACGCCGCTTTTAGCAATATTCCAGCAATATCACGGCGGGGGACAACAGAAATGGGCTTAACACATTGTGCCCATGTGGGGAATCGAACCCGGGTCTTCGCCGTGACGAGACAACGCTTTAACCACTCGGCGACCCCACCGGCCCCTATACACAATAACTGTCCTCTGCTATACTAGATGTATGTGATAACAGTTACCTACTTATGCTTTACATGTTATACCTGACAGCTACTTTCCTATGCTATACATGCTATACACAATAACTGTCCTATGCTATACTAGTTGTATGTGATAACAGTTACCTACTTATGCTTTACATGTTACACCTGACAGCTACTTTCCTATGCTATACATGCTATACACAATAACTGTCCTATGCTATACATGCTATACACAATACCTGTCCTATGCTATACACGCTATACACAATAACTGTCCTATGCTATACATGCTATTCGAAGGAGCACAGACCGTCTGGGCCAGCAGGAGTTGTTTAGGTGGTGCCTCCAGATGCTCCTGTCCCCCGTACTTGTCGATGATGCTGTCCTTGGCTGACTGCTTGTAGTCCTCCTTGCGAGTAGAGTATTCCTTGTGCAGCAGCTCCAGCTTTGTGGGATCGGCCTGCAGATGGACATCCGTCCCGCGCTCAAACGCCTCCCACGCAAACACTGGGCATCAAGGCAAGAAAGTTGAAGGGACTTCAAGTCATAATACTATATGATTATACCCTGGGGACACTGAGCATCATGGCAAGGAAGTTGTAGGGAGTTCAAGACAATTATCTTAATGCATTGTTCATTTCAAAGTCAACCAAACTTACTGATAAACATGTTTACATTATTCTGCATTCTTTAAACTGAAATGTTTAAGGTATCAATCCATCTTCATTACAAGGAAATAATAGGACATTAGTGTGATTCATATCCAGTCTGTATCATGCTGAAACAAGAGAAAATATGGAAGAGATTAAACTGATGACTAATGTGTTTGACCTGATATTTTAACTATTCATACAATCCAGGTATCTTATAGCAGCTGATAACTCAAAGTAGAACTTGCACCACACATCAGCTACTCACTCTGCTGTTTTGCCATATCGTGCGCATCTCCCGTCCCCCTCACAAAGTTGTCCCCTCCATATAGAGCACTGTAAGTAGAACATCTGTATAAGTTAAGCTCTCCACATAGCAATACCCGGCCCCCTCAAAAAGTTGTCCCCTCAATATGGAGCACTGTATGGAGAGCATCTGTATAAGTTTAGCTCTCCACATTGCAATATCCATCCTCCTCACAAAGTTGTCCCCTCTATATGGAGCACTATCAGTAGAACATCTGTATAAGTTTAGCTCTCCACATAGCAATACCCATCCCCCTCACAAGTTTGTCCCCTCAATATGGAGCACTGTCAGTAGAACATCTGTATAAGTTTAGCTTTCCACATTGCAATATCCATCCCCCTCACAAAGTTGTCCCCTCAATATGGAGCACTATCAGTAGAACATCTGTATAAGTTTAGCTCTCCACATAGCAATACCCATCCCCCTCACAAGATTGTCCCCTCAATATGGAGCACTGTCAGTAGAACATCTGTATAAGTTAAGCTCTCCACATTGCAATATCCATCCCCCTCACAAAGTTGTCCCCTCTATATGGAGCACTGTCAGTAGAACATCTGTATAAGTTTAGGTCTCCACATAGCAATACCCATCCCCCTCACAAGATTGTCCCCTCCATATAGAGCACTATAAGGAGAGCATCTGTATAAGTTTAGCTCTCCACATAGCAATACCCATCCCCCTCACAAAGTTGTCCCCTCTATATAGAGCACTGTCAGTAGAACATCTGTATAAGTTTAGCTCTCCACATAGCAATACCGTCGTCCCCCTCACAAAGTTGTCCCCTCCATATAGAGCACTATAAGGAGAGCATCTGTATAAGTTTAGCTCTCCACATGGCAACACTTTCTGTGATGAGACAACTCCTCCATTTTCCAGGGAAATGGGCACAGGATGTAGTAATCAGCAATATATTGTGTATGACTGACCATACATCATTAAAACGATTATATTGATTTCATGTATACTACATGGGTATTACCCATAGGATGAAAATGAATCATTCTTCAATTTCAAATCATTATATTTGCAGCAGAAGGTGAAATGATACCATCCTTCGACTTTATACCTTGCATATATATTTTGTATCAACCTCTTAGAACGAATATCCTTTCAAGACAGATGCTAGTATGCTAGTTTGGTTTCATAGCTATTGTCACTGATAATTTGATGTTTTGTTTGTTTGTTGTTAAATGCCACATTCAGCACTATTCCAGCCATATGGCGGCAGCTTATAAATAATCCAGTCTGGACCAGACGGTGCAGTGATAAATATGATGAGCATCAAACTATGTAATTGGGATATGATGACATGTGTAGATAATTTTATGTAAAATATGACCTAACATATGTACTGCTTTCAAAATCATTTCCAGTAAGTCAACAGTCGCCTGAATGTAAATGACCTTTTGTTGCTCATGATGACAGCTGATATGGAGACAAGCCAAATGTACATCACAGACTTACTCTTGTCCATCACTCCCAGCATTCATCCTATATGGGTTCTCTCTCATGGATCGGGTCTTTGGATCATAATACGCTGAATTGGGGTCCAAGTTGTACAAATACTGCAATGAGTAAACAGTCAGTATGACCTCACCAGAGGAACAAGTGAGTGAATTTAGTTTTACGCCGCACTCAGCAATATTCCAGCTATATGGTGGCAGTCTGTAAACAAGAGTCATCAGAAGATGACAAATTCCCGGCCCCCACAAATTTGGAAGAACAAATCATCTCACAGCTACTCAAAGTCCAACTTGATTTTTTGGACTAAGTCACAAATCGTTTCCATGGAAATCAGGAAAAGTATAAATGTCAAAAATCTGCAAATAGCAAAAGGCACTACTTCAAGATCTCTTTGATATATCTGCTAAGTCTTGTAGAAAGGCAAGGAACGATTATCGAGTTGTACTCCAGAAACAAAGCCTGCCACTCCCTTTTAAGACTAAGTCCATAAGCGTTTCCATGGAAACCAAGAAAAATAAAAATGACAAAAATCTGCAAATAGCAAAAGGCACCACTTTATGTTCTGTTTGATATATATACTAATTTTTGTTGAAAAATATTGAACGTTTTTTGAGTTATGCTCCGAAAACAAAATGATCACGGACGGACCGACAGACGAGGCGTCGACTATATCCCCCCGCATTACATGCCAGGGGGATAATAATTGAGTTTCGAGCAGATAATCCAGTGATCAACAGTATGAGCATTGATCTACGCAATTGGGATACGATGGCAGATGTCAACCAAGTCAGTTAGCCTGACCACCTGATTCTGTTAGTTGCCTCTTACGATAAGCATGGGTCACTGAAGATCAATTCTAACCCGGATCTGCACGGGTTACAATTTCAGATTTTTCCAAACAACTAAACTAACTAAACAACTATAGATACACAATTACTCCTCCTTTCATGACAGGGGTACCAAGGGTCTTACCTTGGCAGTGTCCTCTCTGATACGTAAGTTGCGGACTGTGATTCTCTGCTTGGTTTCAAACTTCTGACCTGGCATGTCCATTTCCTCTGCATACTTGTCTTCATTGTCACCTCCGTCCTGCAAGTGGAACTCACATGTCAAATACATGCAGTGGAATCTGGCTAAACACAAGCTGCATCTTGTATGGTTTGAAAATCTGAGTCCAGCAAGAGTTATATCCCTTAGTATCCAACTCATTCAACTCACAGGACATGTATGATTACAGATATGTTTGATGTATGCATTGTTCATGAATGTAGTGTGTATGTGTGTACTGTACATAATATCCATTCACTAGGTGAATGGTCGTAGCCCTAACAACCTCGATATTATTACCCGGAAAACCCAAGCTGCCTGTGAGGCGCTAGAAGGTTAATACCCAGATAGCATTCGGATGTTGGCCCAACGTTGGCAATGTTGGCAAAACCATTGCCAACGTTGGCCCAACGTCTGAATGCTATCTGGGTAGTCACATGACTTATCCCACCAGGTACCCATTCTCTGCTGGGTGAACACAGGCAATTTTCAACAAACTTACTTGCCTGAGGTCAGACCATGAGTATAACATGTGCTTTGTTGTGGGGCAGGATTGAAGACCTAGAAACTCTCAGGAGTCACGATGCCAAACACAGTCACCTATCCAAGGATGTTGCTTAACCACAACTGATTGTCATCTGAGCTGTATACACAGGACCACAGACACCACCACATGCACTGAACATGCATGTAGTGTGTGTGAGTGTGTTGTACATGAACGTTGTGTGTATTTAAATACAATATATATTGGTGATTGTTGGAAGGAAGACACTTTTTCCACTTACTTCTTTGTCATGCATAATGGACTCATCCAGCTTCTGCTCTTTCAGGACACGTTTGGCCTGAAGCAACACAAAATAACCAGTCAGGGATTCCTTTAATTCAAATCATTATTAAACTGATGACACATGTAAGAAAGTATCTGTGAACTCTACAAAACACCCATCACTCTCCTCAGCTCCACTCACGTATTCTTCATCTATAAATAACTGTTCAAAACCTCCAGTTAACACCGGAAGTTCCAGCGACATGTCTGGGCTTTACACACACAAATCTGAAATCCTGAATGATGATACCAGTGTATACAAACCTCCTCAATTTTGTCAAACTCTGTGATCAGTTTGTGCTGATGTTCCATAAGGTCAGTTCCATTCCAGCGATCACGTTTGCCATCGTAGTCATGAGACAGACAGACCTGTATGTACTCATCAGGAGCGATTTTCTCTCCTGTAAACTTGGCACCAACTTTGCGTGGTCTCTGAAAATGGAAGCAGATTAGGAATTCTTAACCATAGTCAGTATTAGTTTCAGGAATGTCCTCATGTTTTGGGTTTTGACATTCATAACAGTGAAAGTATGCACATTCAACTTGAGCTCCTTGTATGCAAAGCACAAATTGTTACCCCAGTCAAAGGGTCAATGTACACTGAAACTGCACTTTCAAAACCCTGGTATTTGCACAATTGAAGCTGTATGTTAAAGACGAGAAGGTTCAACATTATCATATCCTTCTTGCCCAAGGAATTCCCACCTGCTGACCATGTTGAAAAACACAGGCTTTGGTGAGTGCAAGGAGCCCCAGAACTTCTACAAACAGCATGTTCCAACTCTGTACACAAACATACCTCCAGACAGTCCTTCTTCTTGTGTGTCATGGCCCCGCAGTTCTCGCAGGCACCTTTTCTAAACTTTGTTGCAACAGAACCCTGAATACCAAGACAATCAAATAGTACTTCTAGCACACATATTGAATCAGAATGCAATAGATTTGTATTTCAATAGCATATATCCGGAACCATTCAATGATCCTATACCATACTTTATTTCAACTTAGGCAGTAGGTTTCTACTGACATGCTAACAACATAAGAATTAACATGATTAATGTTTTCCAATTCCTAACCTTTATAATCATTCCAAGATACCTTTTTTTTATTTATTTCAGGCTTATACAAAACTACCTGCATCATCGACAATAGGTCCATATACTGAAGATGATAAATACCTTTCTCCTTTCCAGTCACTTGCTAATTTCTGTATCATGCTTGGTATTTTCTAATCTTTAGAAGATACATTATAAGGACTTGAGAATAATACACTCTCTGTGTCATGGGAATGTTGCACCCATTAAACTCAAAGATGAATGGAGAATCTCAGAAACAGTATCTACCTCTTTCAATCCTCTCTTTTGCCATTCCTCCTTCATAGAGGACTCATTTGTCACCTCTCCCTGTTGTCGTTGATGTCTGAGAGTGGGAGCATTGGCACCAAAGTACCAGGGAGCCTGCATGATGTACTGTGGAATGTGCGGGTTGATGTCTCTGAGAAACACATTATTATGATTATTTCAACTACCATACACAATGCAATCAAACACATGCTAAAGAATACAAATAACTTAGATATCAAGGATATCACAAGTTTGATGATGAATTCACTCTCTGTTTGCCCACAAAAAGACATTAAGCTGCATCGGCCAATAAAAAGTGAGACATATATGCACGTGTCTTTTTCACCCCCATCATGGTGAGGTTATAACACAAAATATGATGGATGTCAACTTCTTCTTTATTGCATGCCGTTAAAGGGCTCTTGCTTGCTCCTTCATCACATTCACCTGACAAAGGGACAAGCAAAAGCTCAGACACATTGAGCATACAATAAAGAACTTGACATCCATAATATTTTGTCTTATGCTGATTTCCAACTTCTGCATGCCTCTCATGTACCTCATGATGAGACTAATGCTGATACACACACACACACAAAATAGAACAATCTGTCTGGAATGTTCACAAGCTTAAAGTTTATGCGTGCTGCATATAGGGAGATGCTTACTTTCCCTCTTCATCCTGCATGGCAGGAGCTGTTCCAGCCTTCCTCATCTCCTCCAGTTCCTTCATCTTCTTCCAATCCTCTCGTGATTGTTTCTTTGGCTCCCCCTCTACCGACATCTCGGACTTGACCAGTTTCGTTACCACCGATGGTGGGGCATTAACTTGGAACGACATGGTCACACTAATGTGGTAAGTACTGTAAGGTAATAATATTAACAATTATTAACAATTGATAATGATGAACAAAATGAGCTACTGATTTTAATCAAACCTAAACATGCTAAAGGCATATCCAACAAAGATGAATTGCCATTTGTTATTCACAGATATGTAAGCAAGCATTAATTGTATTCAGTTCTGTATATACTGTAGAATCACTGATGATATTTGTATGTACTTGTACTTAACTACTGAGGTCACTCTTGCCATATTCGTAAGTGTATTTGATTTGTTTTTGGGGCCTGTAAAATCAGATGAGGCAACATGACATGATTTGGTAATGGTCAAAACTACGTTTCTGTAACAGGAGTTTTCAAAATCCTTACAACATGAATGAAAATGAGTATACCGTTGTTCAAACATGGGGATATGGGATTATATTTATAGGGTCTACATAACAAAAATGTCATGTAACAGTGCGGTCATCATAACCTTTCTGTGAACATGGTTAACTATTGACCCATACAATGAGTTGATCACATTTAGTGTAGAGAATTTTGTTGTCCAATAATTTTCTTCATAACGTCACTGTTTACTCTCATTTTAACAGGCAGGTTTGCCTTACACAGATATTGCAAATACTAGGATGAAACCTGTCTTTTATAAGTTAGGGATATGCTTTACAATTGTTCAGGTCACAACCAAAACAACAAGAATGTTCTAAGCGTCCAAAAAAACTATAATGCGATAATATATTAAAATCTTTGACCCCCACAGAGTTGGAAAATTTATGTTCTTTCAGTCTGTCAATCACAGATTTTGGGCCCCAGATTTCTCGTTCCAAGAAAAAAGGAGATTTGAAAATTCAGATTTCCAACAGTGTCCATTGACAAATTACGGGATACACCCGAACCGGACCCAAGCCGAAGCGGCCCCTGGATATTTAACCCAATCCGGCCCCTGGATATTTAACCCAAACCAGCCCTGGGTTAATTTATGGTAACGATGGTTCGGTGGTAATTATGTTTAATGGATAAAGATTACGATATATATTTTCTTTTATATAAAACATAGACATAATTGACAATGACAATACAGACAGATAAAGATTTCAATCAATTTATTATATATATACAGATATAAAGATTTCAATTAATTTATTATATATATATACAGACATAAAGATTTCAATTAAGCTTTGATGGCGCAAGAATTGGACACGTTATCCATGATGAACAATTTATGAATCATGTCCTTCAGATAATGTCTCTTATAAGATTATACGCAAGGTGAAGATAACAGTATACGGTACTTTTGACATTGAGTGAACGCAGTCAGTGTCAAGTAAAAGCATACTCTTAAGTCAACATATAAATTAATTCGCCTACGATAATCCGTTCAAAGAAATATTAAAACAACACATTCACTTCAATCACTCAGTGAGACGTGCGTAAAATAACAGTTTAGTTTTGGAGCTGAAGAATGTTTTAGTTTTCATAATGTTAGCAGCATACACTCTGTGAAAGGTGGTTAATGTGTGTTGAAAATATTAACAAATGTTCCACACATGGAAACATGCGAAAATATGAAGGACAACATTATTATTTGTGAATTCGTTACTGGAAACTTTGGCATAACAAAGGTGAAACGTGAACTCATTATATTGGATTTATGTGCTATTCTTATATTGGATTAATGTGTCAATTCTGTGGATACGATACAACGAAATGTAAGTACACGTTTTATTAGAGTTTAACATAGTATCGTTTTGCAATTGATCTTTTAGATTCTTAAAAGGATGACATGTACATAAAAGTCCTCTACCACGGGATCTCCGTGAACAGCAGCACTTGCATGTTCACTCGCCTCTCAACGACACTAATATTCGCAAATATATTTTCAAAAATCGATATTACATGTAAAGACATACGCCATGATACGGTATGAATAATAATCCTTTAACATAAATGACGAAAACAGGGAGTACTGCACTTTACCGGGCGCACTTTTTCAGATTAATTAGCGCTGCTGGTTGAAATATTTACTTCTCGGGGCTGGTTTGGGTCAAATATCAGGGGCCGGTTCGGGGGTAATTCCAAATTACAGTATCACAGTGAGCATGCAGACAGCGAATTTGTATGGGTTGTAGTCAAAAGGGCCGAAAGACAAAAGGGCCGAAAAAAAAGAGTCAAAAGGGCCAAGGCTAAAAGTCAAATAGGCCGAAATGAAAAGTCAAAAAGGCCGAAAAAAGGGCCGAAAATAAAATAAAATTTAATACATGATAATTTAATAAATTACGTAGTAAAATAGTATGAATAGTGTTTAGTTTGTTGTTTTTGTTTATTTTCAATGGAATTTGAACATGAGACTCAATGTCATGACAAATCCGTGTGGGATGTTTGTTTTTTGTTGTTGCTGTCGACTCAGTGTCTTAACTAATGAACTCACTTCAATTGACAACATGGTATATAACCTGCTTCCCAACATACAACATTCACAACACTAGCCATGGCTGTCCAGTGTGCACAGTGCCCTAAGACTATAAGAAGAAATCAGCATGCCTTAGCGTGTGATCAATGTCAGTCATGGACACACAGGATTTGTGGGACAGGGATGACTCGTGTCGGCTACCTAGACTTATGCAGAAGTGGAGAAGAATTTAATTTCTTGTGTCATTTATGCAAGACATCTATTCCTAACTTCACTCTCCAGTTCGATTCTTCAATAGATGCTCCATCCGTTGCTTTCGATGACACTCTTGAAGTTTAGGAAGTGTAAGTATATTTAACATCATAATATATAACATATAACTTAATGCCGATCAAACAATTATATATATTATATATTTTCAAGTTTATGAATTTTAATAACAACATTTTCTGTTGACATAACAGATCAATGGAGGAGGATATTCTTGCGGAGGAGCGGGAGGTGGAAGATCCTCCATACACGTTGGTATCGGACGGCTCACAGAAATCAAAACCCAAGCTGGTAGACAGGAATGGACTCACCTACGTAATAAAGGTATTGTTACATCTTAACCCTATTATATCAACCATACTATACCTGGATATTTCTATATTTAATGTTATTGTTTTTGACGTTATATTAACGTTATATTATTACATCTTTCAGGAGGTCACTCAGAATAAGATTTACTACAGATGTAGCAAACGTCCCTGTAAGGCAACTGTTGCCGAGACCAATTCAACAGGAGACAGAGTGCCAGGCATACATAACCACAGCCACACAGCAGAGGCAGGCAAAATTGTTTCAGTCGTAGTAAAGGGGTCAGGTGAGTAGTACTTTCTATTGATTGATTCCTGATTAGGATTAGTTAAATTGTCAATTGAACATCCTTAATTGTTAATTGGTAGATGTTAACGAATTGAATTGATTCTTAATTGGATCAATCAACCTTGTTGTTATAGGTGAAGAGGACTGCAACGCAAGACCTGTTTAAGTCTGCCAGGTCAATAGCTGAGGATGTCACCAGCGATATGTTAGATCCAATACTGCCATCCGGGAGCAGAGACAACCCTGAATATTTAGCTCAGACGCCAACAGGTGTAGAGAAAAACCTCGACCAAAGAATCCGAAGATTTGGAATTTGAATTTGAAAGTCATACGAAGATGCTCCACGCCCCTACCCCGTCCACCCCAAGTCCGATGCATTATGATGGATTTGAAGCTGCCACATGGAAGGTATTTGATCGACTCCTCCCCGATGTCAAGCTACGCGGCCTTGTTTTCCATCTTACACAAGCCATCTGGCGACATTGCCAGGAACACATTCATTCATTCGTATAAGCATCATATTCATATAGCCACAGTTTTCAAAGTCATCTTCTGTTCCTATTCTTGTCTTGAGAGCGTCGTCACAGAAGCTGGTTGATCTCTGTGACTACATGGAGCGACAGTGGATGAGTCACTCCATCTTCACAGTGGTCAGTTGGTGTGTATTCAACCAGTCAGTCCGCACCAATTATGAAATTGTGTGAATTATGAATTAATGAACTTGTGTGAATTATGAATGAATGAACTTGTGTAAATTATGAATGAATGAACTTGTGTAAATTATGAATGAATGAACTTGTGTAAATTATGAACGAATGAACTTGTGTAAATTGCCATAATGTTATTTTTGTTAATTATGTGTTGATTAAATATATGTATTGCCATTACATGAAAACTTGGCTACATGCTTTATTATTGTTATGCTGATATTATGCCACATGTGTCAATAAATAATGTAAAACCTTTCTAAACTTTTTTTCTATTCGGCCCATTCGACTTTCACCTCGGCCCTTTTGACTTTCACCTCGGCCCTTTTGACTTTTTCCATCGGCCCTTTTGACTAGGCACTTCTCGGCCCTTTTGTCCTTCGGCCCTTTTGACTAGTTCCCATTTGTATCATCGTGTTATGTGTTTTCGGAAACTGATTTACGTCTACGATGTTTTGCACTATCGGTTCTGCTACAGGAAACATAAAGAGCAAACTACTACACCTCTTCGAGGATATCTGGTCCAACTGAATCCTTGTTTATCTTGTGTCAACAATAGGCTTACAGAATATGAGTAAAATCGTCTTCACATCGTTTTTCGTGCGACTGATTACAAAAACCGGAAGTAAACATCAGATAGTGCTTCTATCAATGAACAACAGTAATATTTTCTGCTTACTAAGTTATTCGAATTTTGAAAATATTTCAAAAGCTACAAATGTCTTTTATCATAGTCCTCTTATTTCCGGCATATAAATATTTTTTATGCATATATTACATTTCTCATTACTTTGATGTGGTTGTACGGGATGTGTGGTGGCCCCTGAGCTCGAAGGGGAGGTAACTCTCAACACGTGCAAGAACATTGAAACAGTATGATGTTTTATTTGAAGCTTTGTCAAACTGTCATGCCTTTTTTCGTCAGAAAAAGTCTTCAAATTCAATCACTGAATAAAAGGGCATTTTCATATTCTCGGCTTGTGTGTGAAAGAAAAGAAAAAAGAGATACGAAGCAACAAAAGTTGTCTGAGAAGCGGCAGTACAATGACAGTAATATTGACAAACATTCAGTGCCAGTGGCCGTACAAATGCTGGCGAATAAATTTCATTTGGATTCTAAACCTGAAGGTATTGAGAAAAGAACTGTAAGTCCACAGAAGGAACTTAAAAACGTGTTGGTAGAATTATCTTGGGACGCAGAAGCATCTCTGAACAAAGCTAACTATGAAACGTCAACAAATGACATTGTTGATGAGGACGTCGATGAGATTGATGAAATGGTTGATGATGGATATTATGTTGAAACAATAACCCTGGAAGATGATAGCATTGAATCAACAAACAGAAAGAAGACAAAGAGACAAGTGAGAATCTCTGGCCACCCAGATCCATCAGTGCCCAAGAGTGACATTCCCTGCTCTGGATGTGGAGCTGACCTTCATTGTCAAGACAGCATAATTCCTGGATACATGCCAAGTGAAAAATTTAAGACACTGACGAGGAATGAGCTAAAGCAGTCAGTGTGTCAGAGGTGCCATTTGATGACACACCACGAATTATGTTTGAATGTCAAAGTTGATGCACATGATTACCCACAAATTATATCAAAAATCAGACAAGAAAGGGGTTTAGTTATTGTTATAGTTGATCTTATGGATATTACAAATAGTATATTTCCTAATCTTCTGAAATATATCGGAAGAAATAGGCCATTATATATTGTTGGTAACAAAGTTGACCTGATTCCTAAAGACCAAGCAGGATATTTAAGGTCTGTTAGACAGACATTATTTGCAGAATGTGAAAAGGCTGGACTCAACTATAAAGGGAGTAACATAAAGCATGTGTGCCTTGTCAGTGCCAAAACTGGATATGGAATAGAGGAACTTGTGACGAAGCTGATGCAGGATTGGAAACGACAAGGTATGTTACCATGGTAATGTGCACTGAGTAGTGATGAGTTCTTCTTGTCTCTGACATATTGTATTAGTGAGTGAGTGAGTTTATTTTTACGCCGCTATCAGCAATATTCCAGCTATATGGCAGTGGTCTGTAAATAATCGTGTCTGATCCAGACAATCCAGTGATCAACAGCATAAGCATTGATCTACTCAATTGGGAACCGATGACATGTGTCAACCCAGTCAGCGAGCCTGACCACCCGATCCTGTTAGTCGCCTCTTACGACAAGCATGGGTTAGTGCAGATCAATTCTAACCCAGATTTTCATGGGTCATATTGTATTAGACTGACATGACATCACGCAAGCAAACATTGTAAGCATGCTGAATATGTTTTATAATGTTTTGAATGTCAGTTCAAAATATATACTTTTGCAAGATACATTTTCAGACGGTCCCTGGGACTGAGAGTCACACAATTTTCCAGCCCATGGTGAATTTTACCTGTAGATAAAATTGTAACTACCAGTTAACATGAACACTTCCTTCCTCACAGACAGGCACAGGCAGTAAGTCTGGCATGGTGCAGGCCCTGAGAAAACCTCTAACTGAATACATGGTGTAGGGTTCATTTGTCTGATGAAAATACATATGGAGATGTTGCTACTAGGCATATCACCAGGAGATGATCCATGCAGCTGAACCCTTTGGTGGTGGTTCAGCGACACTATGGGGTTGGGTTTCATTTGACTGAAAGGGAGATCTCATTGCAGTACCTGGAATACTCAATGGTCAGTGTTCTCAATAGGACGTGCCGGGTACCACCATCAGGACTGACTGACTGACTGAATTTGGTTTTACGCCGCTTTACTTTAAGCAATATTCCAGCAACATCACGGCGGGGGACACCAGAAATGGGCTTAACAAATTGTACCCATGTGGACATTCGAACCTGGGCCTTCAGCGTGACGAGCGAATGCTTTAACCACTAGGCTACCCCACCGCCCGCCACTATCAGGACACCTTTTGATAACCCATCCCCTTGCCAGATGGTCAATATTCATGTATTATTGCTAGACTTCACCTCGAGCCATTATTGCCCATTTGTAGAACATCATTAAAACATTACCATGGCACACAAGGAGCCCGAATATGAACCCTATCAACATGTTTGGGGCTATCTTGGATGCCAAGTTCAAGCTAGAAATCCTCCAAATCTGCAGGAATTGGGAAACACCCATTCAATGGGAAACATGGGAAATGACGGAAGATTCGATGCTGAAAATTCAATGTATAGGGAGGAGAAAGACAGATGTTATCTGTGGCTCACCAGTGGTGGCTCATAAAATAACAATCATTATGTAAGAACTGTCTGACAATCAGATTGATGGTGCAGTCATGGTATACATACTTTCTGTCATTGATGACAGTCAGGGTTTTGTGTTTTCCTCTAAGATTGCAGACTGCCTCCGTGGTGTAGTGGTTAGAGCGTCCGCCTGGAGAGCGGAAGGTCGCGGGTTCGATCCCAGACCGCGTCATACCAAAAGACGTTAAAATATGGTACTTGTTGGTCCCTGCCTGGCACTTGGCATTAATGGGTACAGCAAGGACTGGTCTGCTCGGAGTCAGTATAATGTGTCTGAGTGGGGTATTCATGCTTCACTGTGGCATGGTATCTCAGTGGGCTAGCACTATAAAACCAGCTTCAGTCTGGCTAGTACAAGCAGTCGCACATACACATACACACGCATGCACGTCGTCATATGAGCGAAATATTCTCAAGCACGACGTTGAACCAAATTTCACCTCACCTCACCTCGTGTATATTATTATTTTGGCTTTGATTAACTTTGGTTTCTGATCCAATCAACTGGCACAATGTATTAATGATTCAGCAGAGACGATGGGGTAGCCTAGTGGTAGAAGCGTTCTCTCATCACACCAAAGACCCAGGTTCGAGTCCCCACATGGGTACGATGTTTGAAATCCATCTCTGGTGTCCCCTGCCGTGTTATTGCTGGAATATTGCTAAACACAGCATAAACCTCACTCACTCACTCACTTGATCACTCACTCACTCACTTGATCACTCACTCACTCCAATCAACTGGAAATTGGTATTTTGTCCAGAGATTTCTTGTTTTGGTTTTAGCGTCGAGTCATGCATGGACTAATTAAAGAACCACTAAACTTTGTTTTTTGTTACATCTTTAACCATTACATATGAAAGATTTGTCAGTCTGACTACTGCAAGGATCGGTCGAGACATCATCCAGCGTGCCACCATCTCAGAACACCAAATCTCCCTATTCAATTTAATAAAACTTGTATTCAGAATCAATTTAAGCTGTTTAAACTTTTGTTTTGTTATAACCATTACATATGAAAGATTTGTGGTTAGTCTTATTAAAAGTGGCCATTAAAAGTGGCCAAAAGTCGCCTGCTTCCCTCTCACCGCCAACGAAACCACAGACAGGTTACGAACTCTGTCGCCAGAGCACTGCAGTGACGCCATATGAGGAACGATTTTCAGTTAGTTGTATAGAAAATGTGTAGCACGCTCATCATTTTGATGATTTTCGACATCAATAATCTATTACATGCCGAATCGCTGCTTTGTCGTCAATTGCTCCTAGGGTCGGGCGATGGTGTCCCCATGCACAGATTTCCACAGGACCCCGCAGCAGTTCGTGCTAAATGGGTTATGTTTGTGAGTGCGGTTTAGCGCTGTGGAAGCCTGAAACGATATCTTACTTGTGTTCAGATCGCTTCACGGAAGTTAAAGAATCAAAACTACTTACTAGTTGTAGTAAAATATGCATATGATTGATGACCATAAAGATTTTCTATGACACAACTTGTAACATAACGATTTCTTCCTCGAAGTGAGGTTGTGGTCGAAATAACAATAATATTGTAAGTAGTATTATATTTGACACCCACCTCGCTGCCACGAGAAATTGTTATGATATACGCTATGTCATGCAAAATCCTATTATTATCAATAAAATACATATTTTATTACCAGTAGAAAGTAGTTTTGATTTTGTAACTCGGGTGAAAACAAACCTAAATACCATTTATCCTCAGACTGGCGGATGTTCTCACAGGGCCGCCATTTTAAAAATAAAAAATCTGTTAGAATTAATGAGATTATAGTTTGTTTTCATCAAGTTAGAAAATCAAGACTACTTTCTACTCGTTGTTAAATATGTATTGGAATCATAACCAAACGGATTTTGCATGACACAACTTATAACATAACGATTTCTTCCACGGAAGCGCAGGTGGGGGTCAAGTCACAATACTGCGCGCGATAAATTTCTTGCTACATTCCCATGGTTAATGTCCACTCACCAGTATGTAGATACTAGTCAATGTGCTGCCTTTATATTTGGTCTTATAATCCTAATTAGTTTATTATCACACTTGTATGCATTTTGAAACTAAATAAAAGCAGACGATCTGCTGATACTTATAGTGAATTTATAACAGAACTGTAATATCTAGACATTTTATAGTTTGCCAATGTGAATCATAATTCGCACACACACCCTAGTGCATGTTGTCTGTCTCATTACACTTCACGGCGAAAACAATGATTCTGTTGAATGCTACGACAAATGAATAAAACAAAATGCAAATATTAAAATTAAAACAGATTAAAGTTATAGGAACAATATCAGGCCATTACCTTGTTCGAGGAATGTATCCATCAATATCCACAAAACTGTTCCAAATGATGTGTCTTTTAACAGTTTAATATACGAAAAAGTGATAAATCTTTTCAGGTATTGGTGTATAGTCTCATTGGTCACCCAAGATAGCACACCTGGCAACTAATTGCATAATGTCCGCCTTTCTTTAAAAACAGTAATTTAGTTAGCCAATAATGGGCAATCAATCAATGTATTGCCGGTTAATCCTTTGAAAGAAGGACGTTGTTTTTACGCAGACACCGACACGACAGAGTGTATTCAGTATAGATTAGTAAATCTACATACATAAACACTACCTTTGACAATTCCGCTGTGTAAGATAAAAGTAATTAATCAATCAGCGTGTTATCGGTTAATCCTTTGATCGATGTTTATAATGTTGAATATTTACTCCAGACACAAGAAATGCCAAATGGGAACCTTTGTCGGTAATCTAAGTGTGTTACCACTAATTATACCTGTTATAAATTCATTAACTGACCATCAAGTGAATGATGACAAATAACATGTGTAGGTTTATACCACCTAACACGGGTTACAACGAGGGAGTATTAATTGCTGTATTGCATGTGAAAACTTATGGGCCGACACTGTTTTGAGAATACAAACAGATTTTTACATGACATGATTAAATATCGAGGTAAAACAACACAGAAATGGGATCAATTTGGATCAGTCATTATACAAATAGGGCCTAACGACACCAATCGATTTTGACAGAATCGCCTATGAAAACAAGTTGTAACTCGAAACTAGGCAAAGCAGGAGACAAAATTAAATGACAGTAGATTGTGAGAACATATAGCTTTCATTTTCCACAACAATTGTCACGATTTCAGGTTTATACAAGCCTGTAAACACGATAATTTACCCCCTAAAATGTAGATGAATTCTGCATCGGCTCTCAAAGCTATTCCCTCATATGACGCCACAGAGGCGCCGCCTGATTGGTTGAAATTTCGCTCATGGGTGAGAATTGTGCACTGTTGTCAAAAAGGTCGATTTAAGTCAATTAAAGGTCGAAATGAGTAGTTTTAATGACGGGTTTCATTTATAACGATGCCAGTTAGTGATTTATGTATTTGTACCCCTAGGGTTTATGTGACCTTTAATGCATTGAAAGCATTCATGGAACACACTGAATCATTTGGTTTCATCATTAGTCATATGTCAGTTGTACTTTCAAGCTTTAGGATTCACCTTCTATTTTGTAGCAACGTGGGTATGTGGGTAAGTTCTCAGTTTGTCCTCATTCTGCAGTCATCACCTTACATGTATTGTGGAAATGTCTTCAGGAACAACTCTGAATCTCTTGAAGTTCCCCAGTATCCAGCCTGATGGGTGGCGAATCCATAAACGTTTACAGAGGATGCAACAGACCAGGTCAGAGCATGAGGAAGAGATGAAACTGCAGAGGACCAAATTGAACGAGAAGGGTCTGCCGAAATATGCCACACTCAAAGGTCAGGATATTTATTCTACATTTTTCTTTCCTAGACAAGGGGCAAGACCATACAAAATGCCATGCCGATTTTGTGTACATGGACTGTCTAGCATAATGAATTTGCTTCTACTCATCATCTATATCACATTTATAACTTCGTTTGACGTGTTGGAGAATTTCATCGTAATAATAGCATGCTTGTAATGCGCTGTTCTCCATGTACAACATGCTCAAAGCGCAAGACATAGAAGTACATACAAACAGACTATAGCAGAGAATAAAACATTAGAGAGATACATGGAAACAATGCAATGAATTATCGTTTACACTCATAAGCTAATCTGAAAAAGTGCGTCTTTAGTAAAGATTTAAAATTAGAAAGTTCTGTACAGTCACGTAGATATTGAGGTAGTTGATTCCAGGCTGTAGAGGCTGCATACGAAAAGGACCTTTCACCATACGTAGAAGTCCTAACAGTGGGGATAACGAGGAAACGTTTAACCTGTGAACGGAGAGAGCGACATGGGCGGTGCTGTGTGAGGGACTTGGCCAGATACGAAGGGGCAGATCCAGACAGACAGCGGAAAGTGAGGCACAGAAGCTTGAATTGAATCCTATAGTGAATGGGCAGCCAGTGTAAAGAATGTAGGAGTTTCAGAGCATCATCAGATTTTACGTGACTGGGTCACTATCGTGCAGCAGCGTTTTGCACATGCTGAAGTTTCCTTATCTGTGTCTTAGTGGCACCAGCGAGAAGGGAGTTACAGTAATCAATCCTGTTCATAACTAGAGACAGGACAAGAGTGGTGGCAGATTCGGTGGTGAGATATGGTCGGATATGTCCAATAGTACGCAACTGAGCAAAGCAGCTCTGGACTAGATGGGAAACGTGATCATCCAGTGACACATCTGAGTCGATAATCACACCAAGGTCTTTGACCTTGTCAGCGATTTGGATGTTTGTATTATCAAACCTAAAACATGTAAGACCACACTGTGATCTCCTTTTCTGTGGCCCTAGGACAATGCATTCCGTCTTGTCACTATTCAGTTTTAGCAGAGTCAGGTCTTAGACCGCCACCAACTTTGAACATGAACGCTAGTGACTTGAGTAATGAATTCAAGTTGTGGATGGAATCTTACAAATTGTTTGAAATAGCCAGTGGAGTTGATGAAAAAGAAGATAAAGTGAGAAGAGCAACGTTACTTCATTGTTTGGGACTTCCATGTCAACATATACCTGGTGAAAAGACTCTTATGCTTCAACTGTAACTAGGTTGGAGGGTTATTTCATTCCCAAGAGGAACATTGTTGCTGAACGTTACAGATTTAGGTCTAGAGCACAGAGTTCTGATGAAAGCATTGATATTTATGTGACAGATTTACGTGAACTTGCTAAAACATGTGAGTTTGGTACTTTGAGTGATGAAATGCTTCGTGATCAGATAGTTGAAAAGTGTTATTCCAAACATTTGCGAGAGAAACTTTTATTACAAGATAATTTGACTTTGGAGTCAACTTTGAAGATAGCTAGATTATATTAGATGGCTATGGAGAATTCCAAAACATTTTGTGGAAATTTAACTACTGTGAATAAGGTTAAGGTGTCTTCGCAGCCTGCTAAACCATTCCAGTGCTATAGATGTGGTTATTCTGATCATCATCCATCTGAATGTGGATCTATTGGTGCAACTTGTCTATCTTGTAAAAAGAAAGGTCATTTAGCTAGAGTGTGCAAAAGTAGAAAGTGTAAGAAGCCTGAGGCTAGTGTTTCTGTTTCACACAGGTCTAGAGGTAGAGGAAAGACTTAATCTAAGCAGCATGGTTACAAGCCAAGGTTAAATTCAGTCTCGTAGAGGATGGTGATTCTGATTCATTTTCTGAATATGCAGAGTTTGTACACTATCTTGACTCAGATTGTTCAACTACTATTGATGTAAATGAATGTAACATAACCATGTATGTTGATTCTGGATCACTGAACAGCATTATTTCTTCAACAACTTATGATAAGTGTTTCAAACATTTTCCTTTGTCGAGAACTGCTAAAATGTTCAAAGGATATGGACAGTCCAAACCATTGAACTGTTTGGGATATTTTGTTGCTACACTCAGACATAGTGGTAAAGAAGTTTCTGACAGAATCTATGTTATGTCTGGTAATGACGTGTCATTACTGGGAAGAAAATCATGTTTGGATCTTGGTGTGATAAGCATTAACACTGTTCATTCACCTGTTGATATTGACTATCTGTTTGATGAATATGAAGATGTGTTTGATGGTATAGGTATGATCAAGGGTTTTACTCATACTATCAAGGTAGATGAATCTGTTCCTCCAGTTACTCAACCTTTGCGTCGTTTGTCACATTCTATGGTTGAAGCTGTGAATTCAGGATTGGATCTAATGTTGGATGATGACATTATAGAACAGGTTCATGGTGCTACACCTTGGGTATCTAACATTCATTGTGTACCAAAGCCCAATTCATCAGAGATAAGGGTGTGTTGTGATCTTCACGAGGTGAACAAAGCAGTTGTTAGGGAGAGATTTCCAATTCCTACGATTGATGATACACTTCATGCTTTGAAATCGGCTAAGTACTATGCTAAGTTGGATTGTAAGCGAGGGTTTTGGCTAATTGAACTTGCTGAAAATTCCAGAGACATTACCAGTTTTGTTACTCATAGAGGATGTTACAGATTCAAGAGATTACCATTAGGTTTGAACTCAGCATCAGAGGCTTATCAGAAAGCTATGACTTATGTTTTTCAAGGTATAGAAGGTCTTGAGAAATACATTGATGATTTGATCTGTTATGCAGAAACATTGGATGAACTAGTTCTGAGATTAAGAAAGATTTTTCAGAGGTGTAGAGACTACAATCTGAGGTTGAATAAATCAAAGTGTAAACTTGGACTAACAGAGATTGAAGTGTTAGGACATGTTGTATCACCTTCAGGAATTAAGCCTAATCCAAAGAAAGTACAAGCAGTAGAATTAGCTTCCCCACCAATGAATGTGTCAGAACTTAGATCATTTCTTGGTACGTGCAACTATCTCATGAAGTTTGTGCCTAATTTTACAGAATTATGTGAGCCATTGAGAAAGTTGACTAGAGCTAGTATTCCGTGGAAGTGGGATGCTCATGTTGAAACTGCATTCAATGCTTTGAAGAAAGCTATTAGTAAAAGTGCTTCTTTAGCATACTATGATTTGAATGATACTACAGTTCTCATTACTGATGCTAGTCCAGTTGGTCTTGGGTCTACAGTGAAGCCTCGTTAATCCGGACGGTAGTGTTTCTCAGTAAATTCGTCCGGATTGCGAATAGTCCGGACTACTGAATCAAGACCCAAGTTGCTTCCCTAACTATTACAAAAACGACACGAATCTGGATAAAACAAATAAGCATTTAATGTAAAGCTTAATTCATCACATCAGTAATTTTACCGAGTGACATCCGCATGTTGATCCGACGTGTCTGATCACGTCCTTCCTCAGCACAGGTGAGGTAATGTCTAACAAGCGATCTATTGTAGTATGCCTTGAATGTCCGAACTATTCCTGCATCCATCGGTTGTGTATGAGACGTGGTATTTGATCACATTTTGCAAAGTTAGCGAAGCACACTTGTGACTTGCAGCATTGTCGTAAAGCAAAATCACTTTAAGTCCACGTGACCGCATCTGTCTGTCTGCCTTTGTATTGTGGTGTCAATCAAAGTGTAAATGTACAGCATCTTCAGTCGGGAGCTTTTAATGTCTAATTAAAACAACAACCCAGTTGGCCAGTTAATTAAGTAAACATCGCCAGGAGGTGTTGTTACGGTTCGTGAACACGACTGACAGCATCCGGACTGTGAAGCAATTTACTGTTTATTTTACTGATTGGTGACAGCTACTTACCGTCCGGTTCCGGAAACCGAATTTCCGGATTATCAAGGCAAATTATATAGGCATAGATTGGTAACAAGCTGAAATCGTCCGGGAGGCGAGACATCCGGATTATCGGAGTCCGGACTAACGGGGCTTCACTGTATATTGTTACAAGAACAGTCAAGTGGTCCCTTGAAACCGATAGCTTTTGCAAGTCGTTCTCTCACTGAAACAGAGAGGAGGTATTCACAGATTGAACGTGAAGCGTTAGGATGTGTTTGGTCAGTTGAACATTTTCACAAATATCTGTAGGGTAGGAAGTTTGTTTTGCAAACTGATCATCGTCCTTTGATTCATATGTTGACTCAACAGAAAACTGTACAGTTACCTCCACGCATTCAGAGATTTGCTTGGAAATTGCAAGGGTATGATTTTGACATTGTTCATATTCCTGGCAAGAGTAATATTGCTGACTTTTTGTCTAGACAACCTTTGTCATCAAAGAAATCTGAAAATGTTGCAGATCTTTATGTCAGGTCTGTGGTTGATACATGTATTTTGGATTTGAATTCAGTTTCACTGAATGAGTTGAGAGATGCTACTTTGCATGATTCAGAGCTTGTAAAAGTAGGGAATTCAGTTGATTCTGGAATTTGGAATTGTGAAAGTGAATATTTTAGATACAAAGATGAACTCTCTATGTTTGAATCATTATTGTTGAGAGGAGAAAGAATAATTGTGCCAACTGTGTTGAGAAAGAAAATTCTGGACATTGCACATTTTCACAAATATCTGTAGGGTAGGAAGTTTGTTTTGCAAACTGATCATCGTCCTTTGATTCATATGTTGACTCAACAGAAAACTGTACAGTTACCTCCACGCATTCAGAGATTTGCTTGGAAATTGCAAGGGTATGATTTTGACATTGTTCATATTCCTGGCAAGAGTAATATTGCTGACTTTTTGTCTAGACAACCTTTGTCATCAAAGAAATCTGAAAATGTTGCAGATCTTTATGTCAGGTCTGTGGTTGATACATGTACAGTGTACTCTGTCAATACCGGCATCAGTCGGGACCAAATAAAAATGCCGGTTTTGACAGAGTGCCGGTTTAGCTAGGTCCGCTTATGACGCCTGCGCTAATTAAAATTATAAACTATTTTTCGCAATGTTATTGAAAACAACGATTCTTGTTTATGCTTCAGCAGCGGGTCTACAATAGCATTGTCAAAGAGCAAAGTAACGATGTTTCAAACATCGAGGAAATCATTAAATAAATTGAAATCAACAATAACATTCATAAAAGTTGTCAAACGTGCATATAAAATTACTATTTCCATACTTTTGTGCGATCATGCAATGTAAGTCAAGTCACTGACAAGTTACATCTCGGCTTTCACCGCCTCCGTCTTGACGCCCGGACACGATGCTTAATGTGAAAATATATGCTTGAAGCATTGATGTCATAAGCCGTAACCTAGCACGATATGTCCAATATGTTCCATAATTTTTCGCTTACAGGACGGTATCCATTTCCATAATATGATTGGCTGCTTAGGTCACGTGTCTGATTTTGACCAATCACGAGCCTTCTAAGCAGAGTATAGTGAAAAAGCGTCGTTAGAAACCAATCTTTATCCAATAAAATCGCTTCTTACAAATGTGAAAATACTCGCAAGAGTACAGTGATATTGTTGATGTTCAGAGCTTTAAACGATACCGCCATCAAACGATTAAGCCTCTATGTAAGTGACACGCGTTACACTCACTAATTAACAAGAAACTGATTGACACTTCCGCTTCTGAATAATCTCGAGTCAATAATTGCGAATCAACAAAATGTAAACACTTGCTTGTTTATACAGTCAAACTGCCCACTACATGTATTAATTACTCAGGGTAAGTGTTACATTACCACTCACTGATTAACAAGATACTGATTAACACTTCCCGTTTCTGAATAATCTCGAGTCACAGTTTTAATTGTGTTGTTACATCATTTGGACCTAATTGCATCAAAGGGTTACGCCGTCTTTCATGTGCCGGTTTTTACAGATTGGTTTTTATAACAACTTGTTCGTTGGGACTGAAAAACAATGCCGATATCCTGAATAGACAGATGCCGATGTTTACAGAAGTTTCTAAATGATAATAACGTGCATTTCTGCCGGGACTGAAACTTTGTGCCGATGTAGACAGAGTGCCGGTGTTTACAGAGGCCGGTATTGACAGAGTCCACTGTATTTTGGATTTGAATTCAGTTTCACTGAATGAGTTGAGAGATGCTACTTTGCATGATTCAGAGCTTGTAAAAGTAGGGAATTCAGTTGATTCTGGAATTTGGAATTGTGAAAGTGAATATTTTAGATACAAAGATGAACTCTCTATGTTTGAATCATTATTGTTGAGAGGAGAAAGAATAATTGTGCCAACTGTGTTGAGAAAGAAAATTCTGGACATTGCACATGAAACTCATCAAGGAATAGTCAGGACAAAACAGTTTCTACGAGCAAGATTCTTCTGGCCGAAGATGGATTCAGATGTTGAACATTTAATCAATAACTGTACATTATGTGTATTGAATCAAAAGCTACAGGATGATACTCCGTTACAACCTGTTGAACAAGCGCCTGAAGTTTGATCGAAGATTGCCATTGACATTGTAGGACCTATTGGATCAGACTATTTATTAACTGTGATTGACTTTTATTCGTCATATCCGTCAAGCAGTTGTGATTAGAGACATTACATCATCTTCAGTGATTGAGAAGCTTGAAAGAATATTTTCAGAGCATGGATTTCCTGAAAGCATTGTTACTGACAATGGCCGACAGTTTGTTAGTTCAGAGTTTTGTAAATATCTGAAGATGGCAGGTATTTCACACATCAGATCTTCACCATATTTTCCTAAAAGTAACGGGAAAATTGAACGTTTTCACAGATGCCTTAAGAAATCTTTCAGAACTGCAACCAGTGATGGAAAGGATTGGAAAGTACAACTTCCAAGAATTCTGCAAACTTACAGAGCTACAACTCATTGTGCAAGTGGAGAAACTCCAGCTATGTTATTTCTTAACAGGGACATTAAAACAAAATTACCTGTGTTGAAATCTACAAAGGTTGATCCTTTATTATCTAGGAAATTGGAGTATGCAGAGAAAATGAAGACCTATGCTGACGAGAAACGTCATGTAAAACATCATACATTTGATGTGGGCGATATTGTGTACGTAGCAAACATTGTGCATGGAAAGTTAGAACCGACATTCAACAATGTGAGACATGTTATCTTGCATAAGAAACAGAGAGACTGTTTCCAGATTGTTAATTGCAACACTGGAGTGATCACTGTCAGAAATGTGAAATATCTTAGACACGTCCCATGTATGGAAGGTTATTCAGAGATATTAGAAGAAACCATCCAGGAACTGGTGCCTCGAGCTCCGAATATACATGTGACACTACCTGCTCCAGAGCAACCTAAACCTGTTGACGCTGGACATGGTGAGACAGAACATTCAGATGTTGGTCCAGAAGTACCAATATCGAACGATCTTTAGGTTAGAGAACCACGACGTTCGCAGAGAATCAGAAAACAACCTGAAGGATTTCAGGACTATGTCTTGAAATGAACTTTGAACTGTCATCGAATATATCTGAATGACTGAGAGCATTGAGAACTAGGATACTCTTAAACTGTCTGTATAATATGTATATAATATATCAGGAAATCAATTCTTTGATATTGGGCTGGTGTTATTTGATATTGCATTATTTCGTAAATATCTTGTCATTGGTGAATTGAATGTTTGGTATTATTTGATATTACATTATTTCGTAAATATCTTGTCATTGGTGAATTGAATGAAAGTATGTTCACTGTATCAGGTATCTAGTAAGCGTAAACAAATATGTATATTAATACAACAATAATTGATAAGCTCTACAAATGTTATATATTTTCATATTAACATTTCACAGTTGTTGAGAGAATGATTAGAACCAACTCGTTTGTGAAACGTGTGAATGATTAAACATGGGAGGAATGTAGCGTAGTGATATTATACATCATGTGATGTAATGCGCATGTTCGTGGCAAACCGGATGCTCTGGCACTGGGGAAGTAAAAGGCATATCGTAAACACTTAGTTGTGTCGTCTCTCCTCCTAGGAACAGCAAGTCATGCAGTGAAGGACCCAGAACACTACATACACCCTGTCCAACTGAAAGATTAACATTATAAGAATGATTATATTGTGATAACTATCATTTAGCATGTAACATGATGTTGATACAGACTTTATGATCAGATGAAAATATTATTTGAGTCATTTTGTCAGATTTGGGTGGCAGTGTGTTTACTCCAACTATAACAAGGTGTGTTGCATCATAGAGATACTGTAAATACTTGGTTAATGGCTTGTTTTTAAGATAAAGCTGGCTTTTATGAGTCTGCAAGATGTTTTACAGTTGTTCATATGATCAGAGAGAAAACAATGTTTCATGTACAAGATGTTTTACAGTTGTTCATATGATCAGAGAGAAAACAATGTTTCATGTACAAGATGTTTTACAGTTGTTCATATGATCAGAGAGAAAACAATGTTTCATGTACAAAATGTTTTACAGTTGTTCATATGATCAGAGAGAAAACAATGTTTCATTTAATTTGAGGATATATACGTTCTCAACAATTCAAACCTTCAAATATATGTTGTTGCTCAAACTATTGTACTTAAAATATTTTTATCCAATTCTCAATTCCAAACCTTTATGTGTAGGTTACCGTGGCCTGACTGATTTCCGTGCAGACCGAGAAGTGAAGAAGAAAGAGGAAGACATGGGTTACGAAGGTCAAGAACTTGTTAGCTTCTCAATGTCAAGGTCAGGAAACCTACAGGAACTGTCTGGACTCGGAGAAAACAGAGAAAGACCATTCCGTGACATGTCTGTGCTTGGGAAGTTGTCACAGAGCAGATGGACGTATGACACACCAGGTGTGGTCAATCAGCAACAGGTGGGTCACAATGGTGAAGGGTCAAATGCAAATTCCTCAGCTAACATTTCCAAATTCATTACTTGGAGGCTGAAATTCTGCAAAACGCTTGACTGGTTTGTGAGTTTATTTGCCAGATTGATGATTATTGATACCTTTGTCCAACTATTAACATGGAATGAATGGATCATGTTTGCCTTCTGGGTTTATCAGGGTTTTAGAAGAATTAACATTCGCCTGGACTATCAAATCATTAACAGAGACATACAAGAATTAACATTTGCCCGGACTATCATATCATTAACAGAGACATACAAGAATTAACATTCGCCTGGACTATCAAATCATTAACAGAGAAATACATGAATTAACATTCGCCTGGACTATCAAATCATTAACAGAGACATACAAGAATTAACATTCGCCCGGACTATCAAATCATTAACAGAGACATACATGAATTAACATTCGCCTGGACTATCAAATCATTAACAGAGACATACATGAATTAACATTCGCCCGGACTATCAAATCATTAACAGAGAAATACATGAATTAACATTCGCCTGGACTATCAAATCATTAACAGAGAAATACATGAATTAACATTCGCCCGGACTATCAAATCATTAACAGAGAAATACAAGAATTAACATTCGCCTGGACTATCAAATCATTAACAGAGACATACATGAATTAACATTTGCCCGGACTATCAAATCATTAACAGAGAAATACAAGAATTAACATTCGCCTGGACTATCAAATCATTAACAGAGAAATACATGAATTAACATTTGCCTGGACTATCAAATCATTAACAGAGACATACATGAATTAACATTCGCCCGGACTATCAAATCATTAACAGAGAAATACAAGAATTAACATTCGCCTGGACTATCAAATCATTAACAGAGACATACAAGAATTAACTTTCGCCCGGACTATCAAATCATTAACAGAGAAATTCATGAATTAACATTCGCCCGGACTATCAAATCATTAACAGAGACATACATGAATTAACATTCGCCGTGACTATCAAATCATTAACAGAGACATACATGAATTAACATTCGCCCGGACTATCAAATCATTAACAGAGACATACATGAATTAACATTCGCCCTGACTATCAAATCATTAACAGAGAAATACAAGAATTAACATTTGCCTGGACTATCAAATCATTAACAGAGACATACAAGAATTAACATTCGCCCGGACTATCAAATCATTAACAGAGAAATTCATGAATTAACATTCGCCCGGACTATCAAATCATTAACAGAGAAATACAAGAATTAACATTCGCCCGGACTATCAAATCATTCACAGAGAAATACAAGAATTAACATTCGCCTGGACTATCAAATCATTAACAGAGACATACATGAATTAACATTCGCCCGGACTATCAAATCATTAACAGAGAAATACAAGAATTAACATTCGCCCGGACTATCAAATCATTAACAGAGAAATACATGAATTAACATTCGCCTGGACTATCAAATCATTAACAGAGAAATACATGAATTAACATTTGCCCGGACTATCAAATCATTAACAGAGAAATACATGAATTAACATTCGCCCGGACTATCAAATCATTAACAGAGACATACATGAATTAACATTCGCCTGGACTATCAAATCATTAACAGAGAAATACATGAATTAACATTTGCCCGGACTATCAAATCATTAACAGAGAAATACAAGAATTAACATTCACCTGGACTATCAAATCATTAACAGAGAAATACAAGAATTAACATTAAGTTATACAGGAATGGATATGTGTCATGAGTCTTTGTGTCCATGTTATTAGCAGCTTGTTTTAAGGCCAGCCAGTCACAGTCAAGGGAGATAACTCTGTGTGCCTTAAGAAGATTGTAATGTTCTTCCCCAAAGATTATCAGTTTGACACACAAACAGCTGATTTCTGCCCGGACACCCTTTGGTGAAGATAGGCAATCTTGCGTCCTAGAAACAATGTTTTATCAGTTTGACACACAAACAGCTGATTAGGCACTGATTAGAGGGTGTCCTCTCGGACACCTCTGCAGACACCTTTGGTGAAGATTATGGCCTGTTTGTTTTTTGCATATCTTGCTCCAACTTTTCTTCATTAACTTCAGCCGTATACCGTGACTCAGGAAACAATGTTAGTGTCAGCCCAAAAGAGATTTAGGTGGTGAGAAAAATCATTTATCATTTTGAACCTTGAACTTTAATTAGGCACCCTGATTGAGACCCATAGTTCACCTTCTTTTGACTCTTTGTTGCTGTTTGGGTTCCCAAATGGGAGATAACCATTGAGAGCAATTCATTTTGACTCTTTGTTGCTTTTTGGGTTCCCATGGGAACATGGTTCTCTGTTGTTTTTTTGTTTTATTTAGAAACTGCACTTGCAAACTTCACATCCAGTGTAAAATGATGCTACTTGTTACTAAGAGCAGGGTATGAAACTCAAAAAACTTTCAGCCAGAGCACAGGGCTGGTTAGATGTAAAAATTGCCAGCTCTGACCGAAACTGACCTGCCCACAAAAGAAATACTAATAATATATACATGTCTAAATTTTAACCTGACCGTCGGGCAGGTGAGTTTTCAAATCTGGCAGTCCATGTTATAAATACCCCGTCCCAGGCAGTCGGGCAGGCAGGTATTTCGAACGCTGCTAAGAGATGACTAATATATCATGAACATTAACTTTCTGGAGTCTTCAAGAAATATTCTGTCATAATGTTTCAGTAAGTGAAGTGAGTTTTCTAAGAATTAAACATGTTTTCAGGCCCTGACAACTTCTAAGATATGTTCCATCGTCAAGTGTTTAAAACACTAAACAGTAGTTCCAAAATTGTTTGTGTTCGATTATGAGAAAATGTGATTGATTACTTGGTCGTTTGGTTACTGTGACCAATCTTTGATTATTTCAATTCGGAACACCACTACCTAGTAGATACATATTTACCTGAGTGAGTTTTATCCCCCCAGCATATAATGTGTCCGTATGTCTGTAATCAGTTTGTTTCCACAGTGTAACTAAAACAAGGTTCAATATCTTTCAACAATAATTGGTAAATATATCAAACAACCTAAACTGATGCCTTCTGCAGTTTGCAAGTGCTTGGAATGTTTACTTTTCTCAATTTCCATGGGAACAATTTGGACTTAGTTTCAAAAGGGAGGGTGGGCACCGTTTTCAGAAGGAGTACTTGAAAACCGTTCAATATCTTTCAAGAAAACATTTGAACCATCTGGGATATTTCTAAGTAATGGTATCTGATGCTCATACAATTGTAATATGCGTGGTTCTCAGTAAACTACCAGTGACAGCTGAGTTAAGCTAACGTAGTATTTAGGAACATGGTGTTGAATCAACCTTTCTTGGACTTTGCGTTGTGTACTTGTACCAGAAATAGGCTTCACACATTGTACCAATGTGGGGACAGGGTCTTGGGCGTGACGAGCAAACACTGACAACTAATTAGACCGAGTGTTGGACTGGCATGTTGGAGCCATAGAACAGTACCCTTTAATAAAGTTGTCTCTCAATATGAAGTTAAAGCATGGTGGATGTATTGTTCTCCTGTTTTATCTCCCCCTGACCTGTAGATCCTGAACCTGCTGACCCCCGAGGAGTTGAAGGTCGTCCTACACAAGGTGGTCTCGGCACCTCGCGTGTTTGTGCTGAAGCAGTCTCAGACGCTCTTTGTATCAGGCCTGGGCAGGATTGACTATTGTCAGGTTAGAAACGCATCTTGTTCTATGTAAATCAAACCTCTCTTATGCAGATACTTATACATGAATTTTCAGATTACTGAAAATCTTCTCCACTGACAAGAATTACCTCCCCTACCTGATTTCTATGGATTCCTTAAACCCCCCTATTGTATGAAGTATATGACGTTTTCAGATTATTGTGTCCAGCTGCAAAATGTTATGACATCCCTTCAGATGATAACAAACTTACTCCATAAAATTTGCGATAAACAATCACAAGACATGCATTTCCTGTTCTGCATGGCATTGTATTGTATGCAGGAATGGATGCATTTTCCTCAAAATTTATTTAGTTGTAGTTGAAGTTTAATGTGCATATTTCTTTATTATATCTGATTTTGTGAGATTTCATCACTCAATATTATATAGTTTTACAAACTGACAATCCACAAGGTCTTGATTGTAATGATTGATTGAACTCACCATGTATATCAGGAGCTAGTGGTTCTGTGTTAGAACTCTTAAGTGAACACTAAGAGCTTGAAAAGAAAATACCAGCTTGTAGTGTTGCTTGATTGTTCCCTTTCACATCCAGTAAAATCTTATGTCAAGTATGAATGTCTTTTGAACAAAGTCAATATTTAGAAGGCATGTTTTAATGCATCCAAATAAAGTCCAGTTTTAGAAACATGTACATGAAACATGGGTGTTTGCAGAGCCAGGAGTTCCTTAACTTTTACTTTTTATTTTCATTAAAGTTTCTGTGTGTTTGAACTTGTGTGTACAGTGTTCACATCATAAGCTGCTGTGGATGTTCCAGGGCGAGCGGTCAATATTCCTGACGGTGCACAGCTCCCCAGACCTCCCTGTTCACGTGAAGGACACAATCGATGCGGACAGCTTCTATGAAGAGAGGATCGGGACTAAAGCTTTCGCTGTAAGTGTTCCTGAGTCTTCTCCCGTGAAGATCCGGGTTAGAATTGATCTTCAGTAACCCATGCTTGTCGTACGAGGCAACTACGGCATGAAGTGGTCAGGCTTGCTGACGTGGTTGACACATGTCATCGATTCCCAAATGCATAGATTGATGTTCATGATGTTGATCACTGGATGGTCTGGTCTAGACTCGGTTATTTATAGACCACCTCCATATAGCTGGAGTATTGCTGAGTGCAGCGTGAAACTAACTCACTCACTCACTCACTCCTGAATCTCCTTCAGCCAGTGAGGTCAGTTTGTGCTTTAATCAAACCTGTCTTCATTACCCCCATATTCCTGAGTTTTGTTTGTGTGTAATCACTGAAGGCCAAAGCTGTGCACACCCATGTCCCCTTATCTGGCGATAATCATGACTGGGGAACATCTGCTATGCTGGTTACAGCCCCCCTGGAAATACAGTTACCAATTAACTCCTGCAGTTTTACCTTCACAGATATACTTGGCGAGGAAACAATAGATAAACAAAATTTCCTTGTGTACTATGAATGTTCTACTTCGAGGCATTTTTCAGGAAATATAGTTCTTGTAGCTGACAAGAGGGTTAGAAACAAAGCATGTGAATAGTGACATTGTCCTTTCTCAAGTTTTTGTATTTTCTGATCTGACTAGAAGTGGGTTTTGTGAAAGGAATGATAGGATTAGCATTATATGCCACCAGGTGCCAGCACCTGACAGTGATTGGATGGAACGCATACCAGCTCTGATTGGACAAGAGTTCATTATGACAGGAATTGGATGGGATACAGCTGTTGCCGACCTGCAGCTCTCATCTCTTGGTAAGAGCTGTGACGTGGCAGGGATTATGTGAATATAGGGCCCTGAAGTAGGTCACGGCACTTTGCGAGACTTTAGTACTTCCAGTGACAAACAACATTTCATACCTTTTCGAATGCTCTCATGGTTGTCACTTGACAGTAAGGAACCGATAATCCTTGCAGGAATAACACATTTCTGATTTAACCGTCCCCAAATTAGCCAACTATTAAGACTGTCAACACCTGCCAAGCATGGATGTACACTTGGTTCGGCCTAGTAAAGTCATATTTGGCAGTCGCGTAATTTGGAACTTCAACTGCTTCTTGTATATATGCTTGTCACTGGTAATCTTGTACCGGAAGTAAGCTGGGTCCTGTCTCGTATATTGCAAGTTGGTGCACTCAATGGAAGCCAGGAACCAGCTTAGTACCAGAAGTAGAGCCTCTTACAGAGACTAACAGGCCCTATTTCAGACTGGGTGTCTGTGCTTGTTGTATGTTTCAGGCTGGGTGTCTATGATGGTTGTGTATTTCAGGCTGGGTGTCTGTGATGGTTGTATATTTAAGGCTGGGTGTCTGTCATGGTTGTATGTTTCAGGCTGGGTGTCTGTGATGGTTGTATGTTTCAGGCTTGGGTGTCTGTCAGGCTTGGGTGTCTGTGATTTCCAGGCTGGGTGTCTGTGATGGTTGTATATTTCAGACTGGGTGTCTGTGATGGTTGTATATTTCAGGCTGGGTGTCTGTGCTGGTTGTATGTTTCAGGCTTGGGTGTCTGTGCTGGTTGTATGTTTCAGACTGGGTGTCTGTGATGGTTGTATGTTTCAGGCTGGGTGTCTGTGATGGTTGTATATTTCAGGCTGGGTGTCTGTGATGGTTGTATGTTTCAGGCTGGGTGTCTGTGATGGTTGTATATTTCAGGCTGGGTGTCTGTGATGGTTGTATATTTCAGGCTGGGTGTCTGTGATGGTTGTATATTTCAGGCTGGGTGTCTGTGATGGTTGTATATTTAAGGCTGGGTGTCTGTGATGGTTGTATATTTCAGGCTGTGTCTGTGATGGTTGTGATGGTTGTCTGTGATGGTTGTTGTTTCAGGCTGGGTGTCTGTGATGGTTGTATATTTCAGGCTGGGTGTCTGTGATGGTTGTATATTTCAGGCTGGGTGTCTGTGATGGTTGTATATTTCAGGCTGGGTGTCTGTGATGGTTGTATATTTCAGGCTGGGTGTCTGTGATGGTTGTATGTATATTTCAGGCTGGGTGTCTGTGATGGTTGTATGTTTCAGGCTGGGTGTCTGTGATGGTTGTATATTTCAGGCTGGGTGTCTGTGATGGTTGTATATGTTTCAGGCTGGGTGTATATTTCAGGTGGGTGTCTGTGATGGCTGTATTTCAGGCTGGGTGTCTGTGATGGTTGTATATTTCAGGCTGGGTGTCTGTGATGGTTGTATATTTCAGGCTGGGTGTCTGTGATGGTTGTATATTTCAGGCTGGGTGTCTGTGATGGTTGTATATTTCAGGCTGGGTGTCTGTGATGGTTGTATATTTCAGGCTGGGTGTCTGTGATGGTTGTATGTTTCAGGCTGGAGTGTCTGTGATGGTTGTATATTTCCAGGCTGGGTGTCTGTGATGGTTGTATATTTCAGGCTGGGCTGATGTCTGTGATGGTTGTATATTTCAGGCTGGGTGTCTGTGATGGTGTGTGGTTGTATTTCAGGCTGGGTGTCTGTGATGGTTGTATATTTCAGGCTGGGTGTCTGTGTATATTTCAGGCTGGGTGGTTGTATGGTTTTCAGGCTGGGTGTCTGTGCTGGATGTATGGTTGTATTTTTCAGGCTGGGTGTCTGTGTGATGTATATTTCAGGTATGTTTGAGGCTGGGTGTCTGTGGTGGTTGTATATTTCAGGCTGGGTGTCAGGCTGGGTGATGGTTGTGTGTTTCAGGCTGGGTGTCTGTAATGGTTGTACATTTCAGGCTGGACATGGAGGTGTGTCTGCAAGCATAATGGCCCACAGGGACATGGAGGTGAGACTGCAAGCATATACCCCTGGTGGGCGTGGCTGCCACATAAGGATACCAGCTCTCCTCCCCAACGTCCTGGCTTTCAGAGGGAAGAGGACTAGGAAGTCAAGTCCAGCATATTCCACCAGGAAGCTCAAGTTCCCAGGATAGACATCAACTTTACGTGAACAAAAGAGTAGTGGCAGCATTGTTTTGTATATAAATAAAAATGTCTGAGGAACAGGTCTCAAGCAAAACACGGATTTTGACATTTTTTTTGTTGACTTAAAGCTAAAAGAAAATACATAAAAGATAATGGTCAACAGGTCTAGAGGATTAGAGGGTTTGTTTTATATTCCTCCTTCGGTTCTTCGCTAGAAATATATTTATTAGCAGAACAGTGGTTAGTCACGTCACTAATTTTGGTCCTCACTGGTCATTTGATTAGAGCGATGGTGACACAGTACAATGTAATCTGCAACATTTGATTGAAGCGATGGTGACACAGTACACTGTAATCTGCAACATTTGATTGAAGCGATGGTGACACAGTACACTGTAATCTGCAACATTTGATTGAAGTGATGGTGACACAGTACACTGTAATCTGCAACATTTGATTGAAGTGATGGTGACACTGTAATCTGCAACATTTATTGAACTGTAATCTGCAACATTTGATTGAAGCGATGGTGACACAGTACACTGTAATCTAGCTGCAACATTTGATTGAAGTGATGGTGACACAGTACACTGTAATCTGCAACATTTGATTGAAGTGATGGTGACACAGTACACTGTAATCTGCAACATTTGATTGAAGCGATGGTGACACAGTACACTGTAATCTGCAACATTTGATTGAAGCGATGGTGACACAGTACACTGTAATCTAGCTGCAACATCTGGTTCAAGCGATGGTGACACAGTACACTGTAATCTGCAACATTTGATTGAAGCGATGGTGACACAGTACACTGTAGTCTGCAACATTTGATTGAAGCGATGGTGACTCAGTACACTGTAATCTGCAAAATTTGATTGAAGCGATGGTGACTCAGTACACTGTAATCTGCAACATTTGATAGAAGCGATGGTGACGCAGTACACTGTAATCTGCAACATCCCACGTCATTGCAGATATTTCTCACTTGGTCATTTTTTTTATACAAAAGCAGTTACCGACATGAGTTTAGAATGAGCATGTAACATTTTTAGTCTGATCGATCTCCGACACACCTGCATCTTTATTGCCTGGCTACACCTTGAGAGAACAAGCTGTGATCAAACCAACAATGTCTTTGTATTCAAACTTTGAATGTTCATGATGTGGAAAGTGAAAGTGAGAAATGAAACAGCTACTGAATAGAGAAACGTACCTGGGGTACACATCTGTAGTACCCGTGCCTACACCGTACCCTTGAGCGTCGTTAGGCATATTACAATCACGAAATGAGCATTTTCATGCCGTTAATGTCAATGAGAATCATTATTGGCTCCAAAATATTATAAGAGATATCTCATAAAAGTATTTAATTCATAAAAGTCAGCGTGAAATGTATGTAAACAGCTAGTGAGATAGGGGAGGCCACTTTACTGTTGACAGGAATAAGTGTAACGTTAAGATTGGTGGCCACTTTACTGTAGACGGGAACAAGTGTAACGTTAAGATTGGTGGCCACTTCACTGTAGACGGGAACAAGTGTAACGTTAAGATTGGTGGCCACTTTACTGTAGACGGGAACAAGTGTAACGTTAAGTTTGGTGGCCATTTTACTGTAGACGGGAACAAGTGTAACGTTAAGATTGGGGGCCACTTTACTGTAGACGGGAACAAGTGTAACGTTAAGATTGGTGGCCACTTTACTGTAGACGGGAACAAGTGTAACGTTAAGATTGGGAGCCACTTTACTGTTGACAGGAATAAGTGTAACGTTAAGATTGGTGGCCACTTTACTGTAGACGGGAACAAGTGTAACGTTAAGATTGGTGGCCACTTTACTGTAGACGGGAACAAGTGTAACGTTAAGATTGGTGGCCACTTTACTGTAGACGGGAACTAGTGTAACGTTAAGATTGGTGGCCACTTTACTGTAGACGGGAACAAGTGTAACGTTAAGATTGGTGGCCACTTTACTGTAGACGGGAACAAGTGTAACGTTAAGATTGGTGGCCACTTTACTGTAGACGGGAACATGTGTATCGTTAAGATGACAGCGACGTGACTGGGAGAGAGTGCTCTTTACAGATGAACCGTTCAGTCGCTTGACGCATGCCATCGTATCCCAGTTGCGTAGATCGATGCTCATGATGTTGATCACTGGGTTGTCTGGTCCAGACTCGATTATTTACAGACCGCCACGACAAAGCTGGAATATTGCTGAGTGCGGCGTAAATCTAAACTCACTCACTCTAGCCATCCCTCGTCTCCTCCTCAAACTGACAATCAAGCATCAACTTATTAGCATTGGATTCCTCTGCCATTCCCCATGGAGAGCTTGTTTCCATTCTTCGTTTTGAACAGGAGCTCAAACTCGAACTTGTCGTATAAGATGTTCCTCAATATGTTCAATGGAGTTTATATCGAGGCTCCTTGCGGGTCATGGTACATTTTCGATGGCATTGTTCTCAAAATGGCAATGTCGGGTCGAGAACGGCGAGGCTTAGCGTTATCATTCATGATTATCGGACGATTGGCAAGGTTTTCAAAATGTGGCGCCATATGCATCCAGTACGTTGACCATTGTGTGTACTGTAATGAGATCCAACTTGCAACCATACGAAACGCAACCCTATGCCATCACTGATCTCCACCAAAGGGTTCAGCTGCTTGGATCATCCCCTATCGAGACGACGTCTCCATACGCGACAAGAGCCTTGGGTAACGTGTAGAAGATAGCGACTTATATCAGACCAATGAACCCTGCGCCATTTCCTAAAGTTGCAGTTTCTTGGAGTTTGCACCACGCCCGAAATTTGTTCCTATCCGTGAGGAAGGGACGCCTGATTGGGCGATGTGCCCTCCGACCCGCAGCCCGTAGAATCCTTATAAGTTTTAAAGAAGGTTATAATCACTGCTCGACTTATTTCTTAATGTAAACTGTCACATTCTACAGGGTGTTACTACAAGTCGTATGTTACAAGTTGTTACTACAAGTCGTATGGTACAAGTTGTTACTACAGGTCATATGCTACAAGGTGTTCCTACAGGTCGTATTCTACAAGGTATTACTACAAGTCGTATTCTGCAGGGTGTTCCTTAATGGTATTACTACAAGTCGTATTCTACAGGGTGTTACTACAAGTGGTATTCTACAGGGTGTTCCTTAAAGGTATTACTACAAGTCGTATGTTACAAGTTGTTACTACAAGTCGTATTCTACAAGGTATTACTACAAGTCGTATTCTGCAGGGTGTTCCTTAATGGTATTACTACACGTCGTATTCTACAGGGTGTTACTACAAGTGGTATTCTACAGGGTGTTCCTTAAAGGTATTACTACAAGTCGTATGTTACAAGTTGTTACTACAAGTCGTATGTTACAAGTTGTTACTACAAGTCGTATTCTGCAGGGTGTTCCTTAAAGGTATTACTACAAGTCGTATGTTACAAGTTGTTACTACAAGTCGTATTCTACAGGGTGTTACTACAAGTGGTATTCTGCAGGGTGTTCCTTAAAGGTATTACTACAAGTCGTATGTTACAAGTTGTTACTACAAGTCGTATGGTACAAGTTGTTACTACAGGTCATATGCTACAAGGTGTTCCTACAGGTCGTATTCTACAAGGTATTACTACAAGTCGTATTCTGCAGGGTGTTCCTTAATGGTATTACTACAAGTCGTATTCTACAGGGTGTTACTACAAGTGGTATTCTACAGGGTGTTCCTTAAAGGTATTACTACAAGTCGTATGTTACAAGTTGTTACTACAAGTCGTATTCTACAAGGTATTACTACAAGTCGTATTCTGCAGGGTGTTCCTTAATGGTATTACTACAAGTCGTATGCTACAGGGTGTTACTACAAGTGGTATTCTACAGGGTGTTCCTTAAAGGTATTACTACAAGTCGTACTACAAGTACAAGTTGTTACTACAAGTCGTATGCTACAAGTTGTTACTACAAGTCGTATGCTACAAGGTGTTCCTTAAAGGTATTAGGGTGTTCCTTAATGGTATTACTACCAGTCGTATGTTACAAGTTGTTACTAGAAGTCGTATGTTACAAGTTGTTACTACAAGTCGTATTCTACAGGGTGTTACTACAAGTGGTATTCTGCAGGGTGTTCCGTAAAGGTATTACTACAAGTCGTATGTTACAAGTTGTTACTACAAGTCGTATTCTACAGGATGTTACTACAAGTCGTATTCTGCAGGGTGTTCCTTAAAGGTATTACTACAAGTCGTATGTTACAAGTTATTACTACAAGTCGTATGCTACAAGTTGTTACCACAAGTCGTATGGTACAAGTTGTTACTGCAAGTCGTATGCTACAATTCGTATGCTACAAGTTGTTACTATATGTGATATGCTACAAGTTGTTACTACAAGTCGTATGCTACAAGGTGTTACTACAAGTCGTATGCTACAAGGTGTTACTAGAAGTCGTATGCTGCAAGGTGTTACTAGAAATCATATGCTACAAGTCGTATGATACAAGGTGTTACTACAAGTTATATGCTACAAGGTGTTACTACAAGTCGTATGCTACAAGGTGTTACTACAAGTCGTATGCTACAAGGTGTTACTACAAGTTATATGCTACAAGGTGTTACTACAAGTCGTATGCTACAAGGTGTTACTACAAGTCGTATGCTACAAGGTGTTACTACAAGTCGTATGCTACAAGGTGTTACTACAAGTCGTATGCTACAAGGTGTTACTACAAGTCGCACCGTGAGAATGCCTTAGCAGTAAGAGAAAATCCCACTTACTGACAGACGAGGGAATGATATACAAATTGCAAACAAGTCATATCTTAAACTCATATGGCTTGAAAATCCTAATGAGCAACAAAGTAAAAACAACTGGTGGATTGTACATACTTGGATTATACAAGATCTTCATTACAGTTCATGAAAGATACCTTCACCATTGTGATCCTGCCAACACGCTATCACCAGTATTAATTAGAGTGGTGGAATCCTCGAATTCACAGCTGGCATCACACTCCAATACATTGGAACATGGTACACAAGCATTCAGGCTTTTGTCCGGCCGTGCACATACCTAGTATTATATATACCCCTTATTAG